ATCTGAAAATAGATTTCCGAAAATAGAATAGTACTTGTCTATCTCATTGAAAACAGAGATTTTCGAGAGTCGAGAGAGAATAGATTCGAATATATTCTGTAATTGATTACCAGAGAATTAATATTTAATATAAGGGTTTTAATTAAGCTTTTATTTGGATTTATAGCTTCTCTGCAACATTAACACTTAAGTAATTTTTTAAAATTTGTTTTATATTAAATTATTTATTTTGTAGTTTAATCTTTTGTAATTCTGTTTGTAAAAATAGCATATTGTATTATTATACAATAATAATTATAAACAAATTTTTAATGAACAAAGATTTTTAATTGTAAAATATTTTGATATAATTATAATTCAAAGGTCAAAATGTTGATTTCATTAACACAATATTAACACTTAGTAAATTAAATCTTAAATATTAAAAATTTTATAAATAAACTTTTTTAGTTGTATTTTGGAAAATAGCATATTGTACCAAGTCTATGAGATCCAAATTAAGCCTAAACATTCCAGTTACATTAATTTAGCTACATTATTTTAAATATAATTTTAATTTTGTTTCTCAAAACAAAATATTATCTTTAAAATGTGTATTAAATATAGCGTATATTTATCCCATTTAATTTACAGTACCAAGGAAAACTCACGGGCCAAGAGCAGAGTTCCTATGTGCGGGCCAGCTCGGTGGTGGAGGAGGTGATCGGAGCCATCCGGACTGTGGTGGCATTTGGTGGGGAGCGAACGGAGTCCGTGCGTTACGATACCCTCCTGAAACCTGCTCTCAGGGCGGGAAAGTGGAAAGGAGTCTTCTCAGGGCTAAGTGACACGATGACGAAGGCCATGATGTTCATTACGGGTGCCGGATCTTTTTGGTACGGAGCTAATTTGATCCTCTTTTACCGGGATCCAAGTATTCCCATTGACGAGAGGGAATACACCCCAGCCGTAGTAATGATCGTGATATCGGGTATAATCGTGAGTGCCAATCAAATATCACGCACTTCTCCATTTCTGGAGACCTTTGCGATGGCTCGAGGATCGGCATCGGCAATACTGGAGGTCATCGATCGTACTTCCCGGATCGATCCGCTCTCCAAGGCGGGGAAAATTCTCAACTATGGTCTGAAGGGGACCGTTGAGTTCCGGGACGTTTTCTTCCGCTATCCCGCCAGAGAGGATGTGATTGTGCTGCGGGGTCTCAATGTGGTAGTTGAAGAAGGTCAAACTGTGGCCTTGGTGGGTCCATCGGGCTGTGGCAAGTCCACCTGCTTACAGCTGCTGCAGCGATTTTACGATCCTGTTTTCGGACAAGTTATTTTGGATGGCGAGGATGTCCGCAAGTACAACCTAAACTGGCTGCGGTCGAACATTGCCGTGGTTGGCCAGGAACCGGTGCTCTTTCAAGGAACCATCGGGGAGAATATTCGTCATGGAAAACCAGAGGCCACACAAAAGGAAGTCGAAGATTCCGCTAAAGCTGCCAATGCTCATGACTTTATCATAGCCTTGCATAAGGTATTGTTTTGTGAATTATGAAACCAAGGATATAGTATTAAATGGCCTTCCAATTTTAGGGTTATGACACGGATATAAGCGAAAAGGGCGTTCAGCTTTCTGGAGGTCAGCGTCAGCGAATAGCCATCGCCAGGGCTCTGATCCAGCAGCCTAAAATTCTGCTGCTGGATGAGGCCACCTCTGCCTTGGACTACCACGCTGAAAAGCTGGTCCAAGCCGCTTTGGACAAAGCCTGTAAGGGTAGAACCACCTTGGTGGTGTCCCATCGATTATCCGCCATCAGACACGCACATCGGATTGTTTATATTGAAAATGGCAAAGCCGTGGAGCAGGGCACCCACGAGGAACTGATGAAGCTGGAGGGATTCTACCATAAAATGATCACCGTGCATTCGTATGACGATTCCGCTGAGGAACTGCTCAACGAACTGGAAGCAGAGGCCGATAACAAGGAGAGAAAGATGTCCTACGAAGTTGAACAGTGTCAATTGGGTCCCCGCACCTCCATTGTGTCGCTGGAGAAGAATGCCGACTTCCAGATGAAAAACCTAAATGGTCTGGCCAACCCCACATTCAATCAGGAAATAGAGGAGCCGGAACATTCATCTGGAAACTATATCCGTACTTTTTTCCGCGTTTTGGGTTGGGCCCGACCCGAATGGAGTTTCCTCATCATTGGCGCCATTTGTGCTGGTCTCTATGGATTGACCATGCCGGTGTTTTATATCATCCTAGCGGAACTATACGGTTCGTTGGCCAAACCTACGGATGAAGAGGTTCTCGACCAGAGCGCCAGCATGGCCATTACTTCTCTGGTCATTGGCATTGCAGCAGGCGTGGTGTGCTTTATCCAAACGTTTTTCTTTAATTTGGCTGGAGTGTGGCTAACCATGCGCATGCGGTGGGTCCTAAAATGGTAATTCTTTCCCTATCATTTTATTGAAACTCCATTTTTGTGTACAGCTCTAAGACCTTCAGTTCCATCATGCACCAGGAAATGGGTTGGTTCGATCGCAAGGAGAACAGTATCGGAGCTTTGTCTGCCCGCCTATCTGGCGATGCGGCCAGTGTCCAGGGCGCCATTGGTTTTCCACTGAGCAACATTATTCAAGCTTTAACCAACTTCGTCTGCAGTGTGTCCATTGCCTTTCCCTACTCCTGGGAATTGGCCCTAATCTGCTTGAGCACCTCGCCCTTCATGATAGCCGCCATTGTGTTCGAAGCTCGATTTGGGGAGAAGTCCGCTCTGAAGGAGAAGGTTGTGCTGGAGGAGACGAGTCGCATTGCCACCGAAACCATTACGCAAATTCGGACAGTGGCAGGACTTCGGCGGGAGGAGGAACTGATAAAGATATTCGACAAGGAGTTGGAGCGATATCGTGTGCAGATCCTCAGTAGACTAAAATGGCGAGGACTGGTGAATTCCCTGGGGAAATCCCTCATGTTCTTTGGCTATGCAGTGACCTTGACCTATGGAGGGCACATGTGTGCCGATGGCAAAATCAAATTCGAGACTATTATGAAGTGGGTGCAAACACAAGACTGATGTTTCTATAAAACAATTAATATAATATTTCATTTGCTAGGATATCCAACACGATGCTTTATGGCCTGTTCATCCTGGCCCAATCTCTGGCCTTTACTCCGGCCTTCAATGCGGCTCTCCTCTCTGCAAATCGCATGTACGAGATCATTGATCGCAAGCCACAGATTCAATCGCCCGAGTCCTTAGAGATCCAGCAAAATGGAAATGGATCTGCCTACAAGACCAATGTGGTCCAACAGGGTGTCAGCTTTCGAGGTCTTAACTTCTCCTACCCCTCAAGGCCGAACCTCAAGGTCCTGCAAAACTTCAATCTGGATATAGTGCAAGGTCAGACGGTGGCCTTGGTCGGTGCCTCTGGATCCGGAAAATCCACTTGTATTCAGCTATTGATGCGATACTACGATCCCGGTGAGGGAAAGATTGTAAGTATTTGAAGCCCAGTTTTGAAACAGATTCTAAAACTTTACCTAAACTATTATTTGCAGCTCATAGATCAGGAGAGTGTTCACCACGATATGAACCTGAAAACTCTACGTCGTCGACTGGGAATCGTTTCACAGGAACCTTCGCTCTTTGAGAAGTCCATTGCCGATAATATTGGTTATGGGGACACAACGCGCCAAGTGCCTATGCAGCAGATTATTGAGGCTGCCAAGATGGCCAATGCCCATGAGTTCATAATGTCCCTGCCTGCCCAATACGATACGGTGTTGGGATCCAAGGGAACCCAACTTTCCGGCGGACAAAAGCAACGGATTGCCATTGCCCGGGCCATGGTGAGGAATCCCAAGATCCTACTGCTAGATGAAGCTACCTCTGCATTGGATTTCCAAAGTGAAAGGGTGAGTTTCGAATGTTATTTATAATAGTTTTATATGATGTCTTCAATTTTGGTTTTGTTAATCTTATTTCAGGTGGTCCAGCAAGCCTTAGACTCGGCGTGTTCTGGTCGCACGTGTATTGTTATAGCCCATCGCCTTTCCACCATCCAAAATGCCAATTTAATTTGTGTAATGCAAGCCGGAAGGATAATAGAGCAGGGAACGCATGCTCAACTTCTGGCCAAAAATGGCATTTATTCCAAGCTGTATCGCAGTCAGACGAAAGCCTCTTGAAAAGACTTCAATGGCATCAAAGCACGGAAGTATGCAGTAAATAATTCTTCGCTCTTAGTTAAGTCACAAACCACACTGCTGTTGGCTTCAATCAATAGAACGTTAGGAATAGTTGTTAAATAAATTTAATAAACAAGCGAACCCTTGGCGGATTTCCTGTTACTTTTACTACTAAGGGAAGTACAAATATTATACTTTGCTTTTTCAATTTTGATTACATGAAACGAAGAATCATTAGACCATCCCTTAAGATCCCAAAATCGAAGGAACATTCCAATTGCTACCCTTTATTTGGAATAATGATGATTTTTATGTATGTCAACATTAAATAAGGATAACAAATATGCATAAATTTAAAGCATTGGCAATCGTCTTGGGAAGTTATAAAGCAGTAAATCGGTTAAATTAAAATGCAAATATTCCGGAACCATGAATCTCTTAACGTGCATTTTTGGTCCGTAAGGAATAATTTGGCAAAAAAAAGGAATGTCGTTGGTGCCAATAGTGTAAGCAGTGAGAGTTTTGTTTAAAATAAACAAACAAACAAATTTGTATGTGTATATATTTATTCATTTTTCGATTTTAAGTGAACTTACTTTTGGAAAACTAAATCGGAAAAAAGATCAATTATTATAAGAAACTTAAGATGACGTTTCCCGCTGACTTATCTTAATTAAACTTGTAGTATTTCGCTTTTGAATTGCTTTTTATCTTATCTCTAAAAAATGAAAATATGTGACAAAAGTTTTGCTCTCTATTGCTTTAACTTGTGATAAGGCTAGATAGTAAGCATTATCTAGATTAGATTGTGAAAAGCAATATTTATTGTTTGCCGCATTGCGACTTAGAATTTAGCCGCAGAAGGTTCCCAAATAACCAGATGAACGCAGTTACCATTTGCCTAATCTGTTTGGGTAAGTAATTTCCATTTGAAAAGTAATACCCTTTAAAAGGAGTCCTTTCCTGAAAATAGCATGCACTTATGCGGCAAATATTCCTTCAAAATCATGCCCAGTGGAGGCTGATTGTGGTAAGGTAGATGAGTCAAACGCCATTTGCGGATTGGATGAAGAACAAGGTTGTATTCAAAAATATCTTTCCAAGTGTCATTTGGATATTGCAGCCTGCCATAAGGGAAAAAGTGAGTCGTATTATTTTTTACTTTTTGCGGGAATGTTAATCATATTACAACATTTCAGATTTAACAGACTACAGTGAGGTGTATTGCTCAATGGAATCGTATTTCTGCGAAAAATCATCCACATACGAGCGCTGGACCATTTTCTTTGGCAATGAAACCAATTAGAAAACAACTAATGGTAGTTTAAACAAATATGTGGGAAATGTGCTTATGACTGTCGCTTGATTAATGAAACAAATACTAAACAAAAAATTACTAAGTTTTGTTCAGCACAACTGGTGTATAATTTATTTACCTTTGAAGCGGAAAGTAAGTACAGCTAAGCGGTAATTTCAAGCTTTAATTTCTTTAAACAAAAATGAAAATGCCTTACAATGAAAAAAAAGTCTTTTCTGGATTCATTGAAATTGAGACTGTTATGAAGCTCTTGTGTTTGCTGTTCTTTAGCTTAAGTAAAAAAAGTAATATTTTTGACTTAAATAAGATGAATGTTAATAATTATGGTTGTATTATATAGTTATAACCAAAGGTACACCAAATCCTAAATGTCCCTCAGAAAAAATTTGCGGTAATGTAAGCGAATTAATGGAAGTTTGTATTTTGGATGAGACTGAAAATTGCATAAGAAAATTTAAGTCAAGTTGTCACATGGCGATCGCCGGCTGTCTTAATCGTAATTTACGTAAGTTCATAATCTTTACTTATCCTTTAAAAATATTATTACAAAACGCAAAATTAAGTAGTATTAAATTGACTTCATGGCTACATATTTTTATCAAAATATAAATAAATAATAATAAATAAATAAATAAATTATCAAAATACAAAATACAAGTAGATATTAGATCTGATAGTTAAAAACCACCAAAAATAAAACATAAAGCCAACCTTTTTGCTATTTAATAACAAATTAGGGGAACCCTCTTTCTTACAGAATTCACCGACTACAGCAACGAGTATTGCGGCATGGAAGGTTGGTTGTGCGAAGAGCCACCCTACGAACGCTGGACGCTCTTCTTTGGCCAAGAGGGTGAGGGTGAGTGAGTGACGACTCAGCCAACTCAATTGATCGCCAACGACACATGTGTAACTTAATTAGGTAGCATTTCAATAATAATAATAAATAATCAATCATCGCGCAACGGTCCGTTCACGTGCCAGACGCCGACGACTACGTCAAAGACCGGTAGGGGGCAACCGATTGCCGCCAGCGTTTTTTCGCACTCAATGAGACAGAACGACGCCTCGGGCCTTTTTATACGATTTCTGTCGATTTTTTTTCACACTGGCTTTTTTTTGCGCTTTTTGAGTTATTTTTGGGTCTTCGACGGGTGCTTTGCATAATCTCTGGCCGCGGCGCCGCAGCCATTGGCCTCCTCCTCCATCGCCAATCGGCAGAGAGCTCCAGTCCGGCCCCATGTGCATATATAAAAAGTGGACCCATCCGAATTTCGGTTGTCAGTTGATGTCCATCGAACGAATCAATTCCAGGCACAGCCATGAGCAGTGGGTCGCTTAAGTTCTATCTGATATGTCTGCTCGTGATCTGCGGTTAGTGAAATTTAAAATACCAATCTCTGGGAATATCAACCAAATGCAATTACCCATATGTACATACCTTTGCAGCGATCGGTTGGAGTGCCGGAATGGCGCGTTTGGAACTTTCGCGGCAGGAACTGGAGGAGCGGTATCGACAAACACCGCCTGTGCCGGATGAACGAGATGCCGATGCCGAAATGGATAGTGCCTACGATCGGCTTCCACCCAGACCCCAAAGTCCGCACTCAAAAGGCTAATCCCAAGCCAACTGCAATCGATTTGTGTTCCATTCACAGTGCCACTTTTTATGTCGCATTCAGGGTTATGGCTATGTAGTTCTAAGCTTAGGCGAATTGTACAAGCGTAAAATAAAGCAATTACTTTGGTGAAACGTGCGCATTGTTACTTTCCATTCCATCACGTAGAATGCGAGACGACATCCGCCGTCGGGGCGGCGTCTATAAATTTGAACTCTCTGGCATTCGATTCAGTCAGTTATCAATCTCTTTTGGCTGCGAAAAGTACGAGCGAAATGACCTCAGAAAGCAAAATGATTCTGCTTTTCCTTATCGGTTGTGTGATCATGCAGACAAGTAAGTCTCTGAATTGTCTTCTTTAATAATAGTTTCCAACTAACTGGATTTTCTTTAAAGTCAACGCCCTGCCATTCGATAGATTTAGCCGGGAGGATGATGAACGGCTCAACGAGATCAGCGGAGAGTGGTTCAAAAAGCCCATCCTCAGGTTGGATCGTCTTTTTAACAGCGGTGAATCGCCGGCGGGAAGTCGGAAAGAGGTGGCCAGACCCAGTAGAAGCGATAAGGGTGAAACCACGGAAAGCTCCAAGCACGCCCACTCCATGATCACCTCCATGCTCGGCTTTGTCAGCAGTGTCATCAACCTTGGCAGATCCTTGGTAAGGGATCAGTAAAACGTAGTCTATTACTGCTGGACATAGAGTTTACAAGACAAGTCTCGTGATTTCGTTTGCCAAATGTTGTAGTTGTAAATAAAGTTAAAAGATCTAGTAATAAACTTCCTAAAGGAATTGAATCTGCGTCCTAGCCAAGACTTATTTTATTTATTTCGAGTATATTTAATAAAAAAAACCAAAAAGCGACAAATTTCTCTGTCTTTTAATTCATTTTATTTACTTTTTTTAATAACTAACGGAAAAAAAACTAATTTCGTCTACATCAATTTTGAAAATAAAAAATTCGAAATCTTAATTTTTTAGGTTAAGTCCATAAATTTGTACTGCTTGGAAAAACAGAAAGAGTCCATCGAACGCAACTGAAATACTTACAAATTAAATTATTTTTAAAATTCATTTTGCAATTTTTAAATATTGTAAAGTTTTAATTTTATAAAACTAAAAGTTAGTGATTTTATTAAACGAAAAAACATTTAATTGAATATTATTCTTTTTAAAACGTACACAGCTCTTTAATTTTTCTACAATATCTTGTGTTTTTACCATTAATTTTATAAACTTTCTCTTACGCAGACACAACTAGAACACGATATTCTATTAAAAAAATTTAATAAGAATTTAAACAGGGCCAGTTAATCAAATTCAGACAAGATTTAGGCTATAAATTCATATATTTTGTTTATCTGCTTCTCTTTTTTATCTCTCTGGCCAAACGTGTCTCTTAGAGTATAAAAAAACGTGTGAATATGGCCATAAAGTTAAGAGAGATATTTATAGGAAAATGTAAGCCCCAATTACGACGTCATAAAATCACGCATCTGCTACCAAAACGATCCTAAGCCCAACTTCCTCTAGTGACGTCTACGAACTAACTGAACATTGGAGTTGACCCATCTTTGTAATAACACGTTGTGAGCTGAATTTAATCATATTAATGAATGAACAGAGGTGTTGAGCGTAAAAGGAATGACGTCTCTATCGACCAAGCCCTCTTATGGTGTCGGGGATTTTTTCACTACTTAATTCGAGAAATTCGTTTTATTTTTTCACTTGCTAAGACGCTTATGTGTGACGACACGAGAGTCGCGAGACGGCGAATGCTAATTATGTTGCCTTCATTCGCTTTGTTTTAGTTGTATTTATTTTCTTTTTCTGTGCAAACTTGTTCGAGCATTGTTTAGCCGGCTTTAATTGTAAATATTGGCTTATTTGGACAATCAGTCATAACAAGACCTTGCCGGAGATACTTTCAACGCGCTGGCTGGGATTTCTTTTCGTGGGGAAAATCCAAGGCTCAGCGCTATTTAATTCTAGTGTGTAATTCTTTAGAACGACGGCTTGGTTCCGAACGAGTGATTAGGCCCCGAAGTCAACTTGAAATTGAAGCTGCTGTCCGCGGATTTATTTTGGCTACACAGAAGAAAAATATATTTAATTGTGAACAAGTTGCTTTTGATTTATCAAAAAATAAATAAATCAATATATACTAATTATACATTTTATAATTGAAATTTAAGACGTGGTATATCAATTTCAGTAATGACTGGAACTTTCATTTTGTTGTGTGTTGAGGTTGCGCAAACCTCTCAAGGTTAGAGTTGCCATTCTACAACAGAGCCCGTTATAAACACAGTGGTTGAGTGGGTGGAATACGTTTTATTGAATCACATAACAAAAGACTTGAGCAACGAACTCGCTCGACAGGGGCAGAAATCTATATACATGTTAGGAGGCGTTTTCTCCGGTTCCTAGGATCTCTAGCTGACCTCCAGCAAATGGTACTTGAACATTTTGTTCAGCGAACACATATTCTGGGACAACTCGTTGCAGACGCGCACCACGCAGCCTTCAAGGAAAGATAGTGATGAAATAACAGGCTTTAAACAACACCTGGACAGTTCACTCGAACTAACCCACTAGATACTTGATCACTCTCAGCAGCACCATGGCGATCCGTAGATAATCTCGAGAACTCTAAGAACTGCGCCCATGCACACGCGACGAGACTTAGAACCAAATTGAACGCCGATCCGCGCATGCAATCGCGAATAAGTGAAAACGTTTGGTGAGCGGAAACTGCGTCGTCGACGTCGACAGCGAAGGCACAGTGGAGCAAATTAACTGGCCACTCAGAGGGGCTGAGGTTTTTATGGGCTAATTAGCACATCAACACAAATTGAAATATTGCCATAGCCAACGAAAACCTTATGTTAGGATCTTTAGGTAAATTACGACAAGTTGTGGGCCAGACTGTGGAAATCATTGGTTTCAATTTGCATTAGCCCAAGCTGTTTTATTTTATATTTTTATTAGTTACTGATTATTTCCTCTCCACTGTGCATCAAGTTATTTGCCTTTTATTGCAATCGCTGTTTATTATTTTTTTAAAAAGTGAGTATTTACATTTTATTTTTAACAAGCAGGTGTCAATTAAGCATGCTACTTTTTTGTTTATTATATTTCTGAACTTTTCGCAAAGTGCAAGCACTTTTTGCTTACACTGAAAATTGAAAGTTAGAGTTTTGTATTTAATTAATTGAGATAACAAAAGACATTTTAATTTTGAATTCTAATTATTTACTCTGATCATAAAATTCGAAACTGTATCCAACTTATTTATCATACGGTTCAGAAAAAAACTAGAGTTTTATTTAGTTGACGTAAAACATTGATTAACATTATTGACATTGAAAAATAATTACCTTTTTTTTGCGAAAAATTTGCTATATATCAAAAAATAAAGTTTTCTTTTACCCATGTGTCCCACTGTGCAGCTGCTAAATCTGTGCTAAATCTAAAGCTAAATCGAGAACTTCTTGTTAGTGTTGCAATCTGCAGATTTTTTCCTCATTTTGTTACAAGCGCATATATCCATTAATTTTTCGGCAATGTTCATTTGCGTGCATTGCATAAGGCAAAGGCGCAAAACTGAGCGATGCGGATTACGTCATCAGAACTCGTTTACATGCAGCCATGAGAAGCTGCTGCGCAGGCGCAGCAATTGAGGCCAAAAATAAAAAAGAACAGGCCACTCTGACACTCGCCGCAGTCTTTATCAATGCAATTACTTATGTCATTGCAAACGGCGGAAAACGAGTTTCAGTACAACAAATACAGTTAGCCCAAAAGTCGAGAAATCGAAAAGCCCCATCAAAAAATTGCTGCTGAGAAGTTTGCAGCGCTGTCTGCGCTTTGGTCATGAATTTTGCACAATATTTAGCTATGATCGTGATTTTCAATAGTGGCTGCTGCTAGCAAGTTTCTGCATTTGGCTCATTTAATCGTTATAGCAATAAACTTCAGGTTTTTTTGCGATCGTAGGTTGAACTGAGCTGCGAGTTGCAATTTTTGGTGCTCGTATTCTTTACTATACTCTAGTTTTTTTTTCGATTTGGTCAGGCCTGAGCGGGTTTGGTTGGAAGCGATCTAAGTAGTTTTTGCCTTCGCTTCAGGCGCGTACATCCATTTATCAATATTTATTTACAATTTTGTTACACATCTGGTTAAACGAAACGTGACCTTAGCAAAGCGTTAATAGAAAATCATTTAAATAAGTTAGTTTTTAAATGCTTTATTAAAATAAACACGAACCGAATTAAATTAATTATTTATGCCTGCCTAAAGACTGCAGCACAAGTGCAAAAGAAATTAACAATCACAAAAAATATTTATACTTATGAACTGTCAAATTAAAATAAAAAAAAAATAATTAAATAACAAGGCCAGTAAGTATGCATTGATTTACACGAATTGTGGGACGTGTGTATAATGGTGATTAAAAGACAAATTTTTTTCTAAAATTTTTCTTAGGTGTAATCGTATCTTTTTTTTACTTCTGCTAAGATCTGATAAAAACCCCAATTCCACAACGTTTCTTGAAATCATCGTACCGGTTTTCTGATTTGTTTGGTTCCGATTCCCAGATTTCCAGCCGGCCGGCGAATGGGACGAACAACAAAAAGCCGGATAAGCGAAGTGGAGGTAACAAAACAAAATAAGAAAGATTATTGTTCTTTCAGCTGTATAAAAGCCGAAGTAAGCAAAACAAAATAAGAATGATTATCGTTCTCTCAGCTGTATAAAAGCCGAAGACGAGAACAACCGAAGGCAGCCGAGAAAAGCCGATCGGTCGGATCGAGAATTAATCTTGTCGGGTCTCGAGGAAAACTTTTCGCTGCAGTTTCATCAGTAGCTCGTGAAGAGCCATCCAGTGCGGTGGGATGAGCTCCCCCAAGGAATACGAAGCGAAACAGTGAAGAAAGTGACCTGCAGATAAGAAAGTGAAATATATTAGTGATCCGTGAAAAACTGCGATAGAACCGGAACCTCGGATCAAGGGGAAGTACTGTCGTTATCGCAGCGTGTGTAAACACCCAGTATAATGGGTTTAAAAGTGGTTTCCATTGGTATCCTGCTACTGATCCTATTGATCTCCTATTGCCAGGCGGAACTAACGCCGCCGTATTTCAATCTGGCCACCGGCCGAAGGATCTATGCCACGGCCACTTGTGGCCAGGATACGGAAGGACCCGAGCTATACTGCAGATCAGTGGGAGTCAATGCGGAGTCCGAATACATCGACCACTCGGTGCCAAATCGTTTTTGTTAATACCCAAGCAATTTTATACCGTGGTGCAACAGCAATCTTTTCAATTAAATTTAAGTCCTTACAAAATCCAAACCTATTCCAAACGAGAGCTCATAGAAATTATTTGATATTTGGTTTGAAATGAGTTCTCTATTAAATTCCCCTATCAAATTTGTTATTTGCCACACTACAAATTATATAAATAGCAATAATAAACTATAATTCACTTTAGAAATATGAAATTGATTTAAAAGTCGTATGGCTTTTATATTTTAAATTGTAAGTTTGCACTTAAACATATTCTATCTGCATTTGTTTTGCCACTTGTTTGTACTGCTTATAGTGCATCAACGGTCAACACATACATACTTACTTGCTCCCACTTTCCAAATAACAATTCATTAGACAGGCATTACGGTATGAAAAATTGTTCTGTTCATTATTTTACTTCAGAAAATGTATAAGTTTTTATAAGAGTTTTTTTAAGTGAGTACTGCATTTTTCAGGTCTGTGATTTCTGTGATACTAATGTACCGGCGAAAAGTCATCCTCCACTGAACGCGATAGATGGAACCGATTCCTGGTGGCAGAGTCCTCCGTTGTCCAGGGGAATAAAATTCAATGAAGTCAATATGACCATCAGTTTTGAGCAGGTGCATTATTTTTTTTTTAGTTGTTGATGGTATTGTTGGTTTAATTACAAAGTAATAACGTAGTGTTGAGTTTTGATGATAACAACTCTAAGCTGACCATATAAAATATAATGTCAACTTCTTTAATGCATACTGTTGACAGGAATTCCATGTGGCCTATTTGTTCATTCGGATGGGCAACTCTCCTCGTCCGGGTATCTGGACTCTGGAAAAGTCCACGGATTATGGCAAAACCTGGACCCCTTGGCAGCACTTTTCCGACACTCCCGCCAATTGCGAGACCTACTTTGGCAAGGACACCTACAAGCCAATCACCCGCGATGACGACGTCATTTGCACCACGGAATACTCAAAGATTGTCCCCCTGGAGAATGGAGAAATTCCCGTGATGCTGCTGAACGAGCGTCCCAGCTCCACCAACTACTTTAACTCAACTGTGCTCCAGGAATGGACCCGTGCCACCAACGTCAGGATCCGGCTGTTGCGCACAAAGAATCTTTTGGGACATCTGAGGTTCGTGACTGGACAGGATCCCACGGTGTTACGTCACTATTTTTACTCGATCAAAGATATCTCCATTGGAGGTAGGTGTATTTGCAACGGCCACGCCGAGGCCTGCGACGTCGAGGACCCGAAGAGTCCTCTGCGCATCCTCGCCTGCCGCTGCCAACACCACACGTGCGGCATAAATTGCAACGAATGCTGCCCAGGATTCGAGCAGAAGAAATGGCGGCAGAACACCAATGCCCGACCCTTCAACTGCGAACGTGAGTTATTTTCATTGAGCAGACAATTTAATTAATTTCTGTAAAAAGCTGATAAGAAAAAGTTCAATTATAAATTCCCGAATTAAACATTACCCTTCTCTTCAGCTTGCAACTGCCATGGCCACAGCAACGAGTGCAAGTACGATGAGGAAGTGAACCGCAAGGAACTCTCCCTGGACATTCACGGACACTACGATGGAGGTGGCGTTTGCCAGAACTGTCAGCACAACACCGTGGGAATCAACTGCAACAAGTGCAAGCCGAAGTACTACCGACCCAAAGGAAAGCACTGGAACGAGACTGATGTTTGCAGTCGTAAGTGCCACTTTTAAATATATTGGAGTTTTGACATCCAAATATTCATATTTACCATTGCTTTCTTACCTAACCAGCCTGCCAATGTGACTTCTTCTTCTCCACCGGACACTGCGAGCAGGAAACCGGAAACTGTGAGTGCCGTGCCGCCTTCCAGCCGCCGAGCTGCGACTCGTGTGCCTACGGATACTACGGATACCCGAACTGCCGGGAGTGCGAGTGCAACTTGAACGGAACCAACGGATACCATTGCGAAGCGGCGAGCGGACAGCAATGTCCTTGCAAGATCAACTTCGCGGGTGCCTACTGTAAGCAGTGCGCCGAGGGATACTACGGATTCCCCGAGTGCAAGGCCTGCGAGTGCAACAAGATCGGCTCGATCTCCAACGACTGCAACATGACCACTGGCGAGTGCAAGTGTCTCACAAACTTCGGTGGCCACAACTGCGAGCGCTGCAAGCACGGATACTTCAACTACCCCACCTGCTCACGTAAGATATAAGATTTATTATCAAAAAGTAATTAATCCGGAATCCATTCCCTCCTTTATAGATTGCGACTGCGACGACCAGGGCACAGAGTCAGAAATCTGCAACAAGCAATCTGGCCAGTGCATCTGCCGCGAGGGCTTCGGTGGCCCAAAATGCGACCAATGCTTACCAGGGTTCTTAAACTATCCAATATGCACGTCTTGTAACTGTTCGCTGAAGAGAGGGCTGTTCTTCAACAACCAGAAGGCGTATGTCAAACTCTTCGAACACTTCAATGTCGGCACTGAAATGAAAATCAGCTTTGATTTCCGACCGAGGGACCCCAACGGTCTGCTCTTCTCCGTGCACGGCAAGAGCTCCTATGCCATCCTCGAGCTGGTGGACAACACCCTGTTCTTCACCGTGAAGACCGATCTGAAGAACATTGTGACGACCAACTATAAGCTGCCCAACAACGAAAGCTTTTGCGATGGAAAGACACGCAACGTCCAGGCTATTAAGTCCCAGTTTGTGATCAATATAGCCGTGGACTTTATAAGTTCCTATCCGGGCGTGGGCGGCGAAGGATCCAAGATTACAAAGACAAACCGTCCGTTGTTCTTGGGAGGACACTTGAACTTTCCAAGGCTGCCGGGCATCAGTGGACAAAAAAAAGGCTTCAAGGGATGCATCAGCAATGTTAGTGTCAACCAGAGGATGTTAAATATTACGCCTGAAATGGTCTTTGGTGATATATGGCATGGTTTCTGCCCGCTTAACTAGCGATAAGGTCGGTTACGACAGTAGGACCATTGGTTTAATTAAACCAAAACTACGAAAAACTGCTGAAAAAAATTCTTAGGTTTCCAACAAATAAAGCAACGGACAACGATGGAACAGATATAAAACAAACAAAATTGACAAGCCATTGAGAAGGCTGGAAAATTTAAGCCAATAATTCTTTAGCAAAAAGGCATGTCCCATATTTGTTAGTAGGCACTATAAGCATATAACCATAATAAATGTTATAGACGAGAACCAACATCCAATGCCGATGTGATTATTTTTAATGAGTGCTCTAGATTTGTAAGCTCTAAAACAACTTTCCTTAATCAACAATTACGAAATCATGATCGTTGCAGACAATATAGCTTCATTTATTTTGCTAATATTATATGTAAGCGCGAGACTATTTTTTGTTAAAAAAGTGAGAATAGTAATGATTATTTTTGGCCCCTTCTTCTTATCATTATAACGCTTACCTATACATAATTATTACTGGATGGATGTGAGTTTAATTTATCAACAATCAAAGTTAGCGCCCATTACATTTACTACGTGGAGTATTAGGTATATGCATAATTCACTTTTTTAATTATTCATTGCATTTGCAGTGAGAAATATGCAACAAACCAATTTTTTTCTTTATCTTATTTTGTTACGATTGCGAGCCGGCCGGCAAACACACAACAAATAACCAGAGAAATAGAAGTGTACATATGTATGTCGAGAGCAAACCCCAATCGTTCTCTCAGTTATATAAACAGCCGAAGACGAGAACAACCGAAGGCAGCCGAGAAAAGCCGATCGGAAGTCAACATTTTGGGGTCTCGAGGAAAACTTCTCGCTGCAGATCCATCAGTTGCTCGCGAAGAGCCATCCAGTGCGGTTGGATGAGCTCCCCCAAGGAATACGAAAGGAAACAGTGAACAAGAACAAATCAGTGAAGAAAGTGACCAGCAGATAAGAAAGTGAAATACATAAGAGTGAAACGGGAGAGACTGAGATAGAACCGGAAGTGGTCCGAGGAAGGACTGTCGTTATCGCAGTGCGGGTGCTTGGACTCTCGGCACAATGGAGTTCAGAGTGGCCTCCATTTGGATCCTGCTACTGATCCTGGCGATCTCCTATTGCCAGGCAGAACTAACGCCGCCGTATTTCAATCTGGCCACGGGACGAAAGATCTATGCCACGGCCACTTGTGGCCAGGATACAGACGGACCAGAGCTATATTGTAAACTAGTAGGAGCTAATACGGAGCACGATCACATGAACTTTTCGGTCATCCAAGGACAGGTAAATATGATCGACATCCAGCAGCAACGCCCAAAAATCATTCCAGTATACACACAAAATCAGATGGTCTTTGACCGTACACTTGAAAGAACAATAAACTATTATGCAAAAATAAAATAATGAATTTTTAATCAAAGTTTAAGACATAAATTTTGTAATATCCTTTATTTTTATTTTAAAGTTGAGTTTCCAAAGAAGACAAAGATCGTTATTAATTTATTTTAACGATTATAAAAAATGATTTTCGTTCAATAAATGGCTTTTTTTCTCATTCTGTTAAAAATATAGTAAATATTTTATTGTAATTTTTATTATTTAATAAAATGACTAAATATTATATCCAAATGTATTATAAATCGAATTTGTAAAGTTAACCATGAAGAACATTTCTAAAAACACTGTAATCATATATAAAAAAAAATTATAATACCAATTTAAAACCGATTATAAGACGTAAATTGATTTTTTTTTACTTGCAACACGCTATTTTTCTAAGTGTGCACTGCATTTTGACTTCGCCACATGTGTCGAACATTTGAAATGGGACTCTAAAAATAATCTTGACTCGATTTGGTTCTTTCGATCTATTAACTAACATGTGTTCCCTGATGTTATGTAGGTCTGCGACTATTGTAACACCAAGGTGCCGGAGAAGAATCATCCGCCAGAGAACGCGATCGATGGCACCGAGGCCTGGTGGCAGAGTCCTCCGTTGTCCAGGGGCATGAAATTCAATGAAGTCAATTTGACCATCAATTTCGAACAGGTAAGCAACAGAGAGCATAAAAGATACCAAAGGTATGGGAGGGAGATGGTGGATGTGGATGCAACTCGTTTTCGGGTCGGAGCGATGGGATCGTAAAATTTGAAAACAATTTTAATGGGTTTTCATTTCGACGACGACGACACAGCAAAAAACTGAACAAAAAAAAAATGTTGCTGAGGTCGGACATTTGTTGTTGGCCTCTTCCCCTTTGGAGTTGTGGGTTATCAGTATGTCAGCTCCTACATATAATAAAGAGATATGTACGAGCATATATATATACACACACTCTTGAATGGGAAGTCTCGGCTTTCAAACTGCTTAGAAACCGACTCGGAGCATTGACTCTTTCGAGCTGTTCATTCTGAGTTTTAATATTTCTTAGCGATAAAGGCGTATTGTTTAAGGCACCAGCATGCGACATATGTGAATTAAGAGCAGTCTGCTAATCAGCACAAGTCGCAAGAAACTACAGCCTTATCTTCAGTGTGTCTGAAATTGTTCTATAAAAAGTTGGGGGTCGTTTCGCCTACATTCTTATCTCGCTTGCAACGGAAACGGTATAATCCACGAGGTTCCAAAGTTAATTTCGAGAATACTTGCGCTAAGATTTCAACAGCTCAGCATGATCTCATTCTCATTCCGTGGGGGTTTTAATTCTATAGTTGCACTTCTCTTAATTCACAGAATGCAACTGAATATGAGATTTTTGCTTGTATTTAGTTTTCAACTCAAATCCAAAAATTAAACGATACACATTTGAAATAATGTGTAGGAAGAGCTGTATATAACGATGTATGTCTATGCAAAAATTGTATGAACTTCTATACGCAGAAATGTAAACAAATCTGAGCAACCACACTGAGTACATAACATGTGGACTCTTTAAACAGATATGAACGCATGTCTGTATCTTTGTACATATGTGTATCTCCATATCTCTGGGCTTCCTTCAATTGAAGCCAAATTAAAAAGCAAACATAAACCAAGAAAATATAAATAAACGAACAAACATTGGCAGAGTCTACAGCAGAACATTTGGAGTTAATTCCCCCACAGTGATCTCATATTCCCGTCTCGCATTGCCTGTGTGATGGTGTAGTTCGTACATGCCTAAGTGATGTGTACACTCGACTAATAAATTTCAATGAATTTGCTTGTGCGAAATGAATTTTGTGCCTAGACTAAGCCTCCTAAATAGTGGAGAAAAAGCCAAGAAGCAACCGAGTATTTCAGATTCTGCTTACAAATGCTTCAAACATAATAAGTATTCCGTAAAACCCTTTGCCTTCTTGGAAACTGTTACAGATGGATTAGTCTTATGTTGTCGGTTTAGTTGAGTAATGTTACCCCACTTCCATATTAATGAATTGTAAAAGATTCAAAATTTCAGTAAATAAATATTTTATCAAATAAAGTGGTTGGGACATTAATAGCAAGTAAACATTGTGTTTCTCTTACCAGGAATTCCATGTGGCCTATTTGTTCATTCGGATGGGAAATTCCCCTCGTCCGGGCCTCTGGACGCTGGAGAAGTCCACGGATTATGGCAACACCTGGACCCCTTGGCAGCACTTCTCGGATACTCCCGCCGATTGCGAGACCTACTTTGGCAAGGACACGTACAAGCCAATCACCCGCGATGACGACGTCATTTGCACCACGGAATACTCAAAAATTGTGCCGCTAGAGAACGGAGAGATTCCCGTGATGCTGCTGAACGAGCGTCCCAGCTCCACCAACTACTTTAACTCAACTGTGCTCCAGGAATGGACCCGTGCCACCAACGTCAGGATCCGGCTGTTGCGCACAAAGAATCTCTTGGGACATCTGATGTCCGTGGCTCGACAGGATCCCACGGTTACGCGTCGTTATTTCTACTCGATCAAGGACATATCTATTGGCGGAAGGTGCATGTGCAATGGTCATGCCGACACCTGTGACGTCAAGGACCCGAAGAGTCCAGTGCGCATCCTCGCCTGCCGCTGCCAACACCACACTTGCGGCATCCAGTGCAATGAGTGCTGTCCAGGATTCGAGCAGAAGAAATGGCGGCAGAACACCAATGCCCGACCCTTCAACTGCGAACGTGAGTTAATTTTCATTGAGCAGACAATTTAATTAATTTCTGTAAAAAGCTGATAAAAAAAATTGCAATTATAAATTCCCGAATTAAACATTACCCTTCTCTTCAGCTTGCAACTGCCATGGCCACAGCAACGAGTGCAAGTACGATGAGGAAGTGAACCGCAAGGGACTCTCCCTGGACATTCACGGACACTACGATGGAGGTGGCGTTTGCCAGAACTGTCAGCACAACACCGTGGGAATCAACTGCAACAAGTGCAAGCCGAAGTACTACCGACCCAAAGGAAAGCACTGGAACGAGACTGATGTTTGCAGTCGTAAGTGTCACTTTTCTATATGGGAGTTATAAGTAGATATTCATATTTACCATTGCTTTCTTACCCATCCAGCCTGCCAATGTGACTTCTTCTTCTCCACCGGACACTGCGAGGAGGAAACCGGAAACTGTGAGTGCCGTGCCGCCTTCCAGCCGCCGAGCTGCGACTCGTGTGCATACGGATACTACGGATACCCGAACTGCCGGGAGTGCGAGTGCAACCTGAACGGAACCAACGGATACCATTGCGAAGCGGAGAGCGGACAGCAATGTCCTTGCAAGATCAACTTCGCGGGTGCCTACTGTAAGCAGTGCGCCGAGGGATACTACGGATTCCCCGAGTGCAAGGCCTGCGAGTGCAACAAGATCGGCTCGATCTCCAACGACTGCAACATGACCACTGGCGAGTGCAAGTGTCTCACGAACTTCGGTGGCCACAACTGTGAGCGCTGCAAGCACGGATACTTCAACTACCCCACCTGCTCATGTAGGACATTAAATATATTAAACACTGCAAAGTATCTGATCCCGATTCCGACCCCTTCTTTACAGACTGCGACTGCGACAACCAGGGCACGGAGTCGGAAATCTGCAACAAGCAGTCTGGCCAGTGCATCTGCCGCGAGGGCTTCGGGGGTCCGAGATGCGATCAATGCTTGCCGGGATATTACAACTATCCGGACTGCAAGCCCTGCAACTGCTCGACCACAGGCAGCTCGGCGATCACCTGCGACAACACCGGCAAGTGCAACTGCCTGAACAACTTTGCCGGAAAACAATGCACGCTCTGTACTGCCGGCTACTACAGCTATCCGGATTGTCTACGTAAGTAAAAGTTAAACATAAAGTTTAGTTTTTTTTATGCAGACATATAACCATATTCCAAAAAATCAGCTGCATTTTTTAATTTACCCGTTACTGGTAGAGTAAATGGGTTTCGGATTTAATAAGTAGATGCTAGTTGCACGTCCACAAAATCAGTCAAATTATGAGCCTTTTTTTTATTCGGCAGTGTATGTTTACTCGGTCCTATCTTTAAACAAACCGCACCGTTAATAACAATTTAATAGAAAATTTTGGATTTATGTTCGCTGAGTAACCGGGTCACTCGACTATAGAGCTCCTTCTCGTTTTTGTTAATAACATATATGTTTTACTTACCTTGATCAATGTTCAGCATGTCACTGCGACTCCCACGGATCTCAGGGAGTGTCCTGCAACTCGGACGGACAGTGCCTGTGCCAGGCCAACTTCGACGGACGACAGTGCGAGTCCTGCAAGGAGGGCTTCTACAACTTCCCCAGCTGCGAGGACTGCAACTGCGATCCGGCGGGAGTAATCGATAAGTTCGCCGGATGCGGATCGGTGCCCGTGGGAGAGCTGTGCAAGTGCAAGGAGCGAGTCACAGGCAGGATCTGCAATGAGTGCAAGCCCCTGTACTGGAACCTGAACATCAGCAATCCGGAGGGTTGCGAGATTTGCGATTGTTGGACGGATGGTACCATTTCCGCTTTGGATACCTGTACCTCCAAGACCGGACAATGTCCCTGCAAGCCGCATACTCAGGGCAGGCGCTGCCAGGAGTGTCGGGATGGCACCTTCGATCTGGACAGTGCCTCGTTGTTTGGCTGCAAGGACTGCAGTTGCGATGTTGGTGGCTCGTGGCAAAGTGTTTGCGACAAGATCAGCGGCCAGTGCAAATGCCACCCGAGAATCACGGGTCTGGCATGTACCCAGCCTTTGACTACCCACTTCTTCCCAACGCTTCATCAGTTCCAGTATGAATACGAGGATGGTTTGCTGCCCTCGGGCACTCAGGTGCGCTACGATTACGACGAGGAGGCATTCCCCGGATTCAGCAGCAAGGGCTACGTGGTGTTCAATGCCATTCAGAACGAGGTACGCAACGAAATAAACATGTTCAAGTCATCTCTCTACCGGATTGTGCTGCGCTATGTGAATCCCAATGACGATAATGTCACCGCCACCATCTCGATTACTTCGGACAATCCGCTGGAGGTGGATCAACAGTGAGTATATGCTCAGATTTTTGTGTTATTTTGAACTACTCTAACCATTGACCATTAATCAGCGTGAAGGTACTGCTGCAACCCACTTTGGAACCCCAGTTTGTGACCGTTGCGGGTCCCTTGGGCGTAAAACCCTCGGCAATTGTTTTGGATCCGGGTCGTTATGTCTTTACCACCAAGGCCAACAAGAATGTGATGCTAGATTACTTTGTTCTCCTGCCTGCTGCCTATTATGAAGCTGGAATTCTTACCCGTCATATCTCGAATCCCTGTGAACTGGGCAACATGGAGCTGTGCCGCCATTACAAATACGCCTCAGTGGAGGTTTTCGAGCCAGCCGAAACTCCATTTGTTATCGGAGAAAACTCTAAGCCCACCAACCCTGTCGAAGTGTATAGCGATCCGGAACACCTCCAGATTGTCAGCCATGTGGGCGATATTCCCGTGCTGAGCCAGTCGCAAAAGGAGCTGAACTACATAGTAGATGTTCCACGCAGTGGACGATACATCTTCGTGATTGATTACATCAGCGATAGGAATTTCGCCAACAGTTACTATATTAACTTGAAGCTGAAGAACACTCCCGGTTCTGAGACTTCCGTGCTGTTGTATCCGTGCTTGTACTCCACCGTCTGTCGCACTTCGGTCAACGATGATGGTTTGGAGAAGGCCTTCTACATCAGCAAGGAGGATCTGCAGCCAGTCACCATCTATGTGAGTTCTATCTCCAAATGGAATTGTTTGAAAATTTTATAACAATTGTCCCCTACTTTCAGGCCGACATCGATGATGAATCCCGTGTGCCCATCATCTCGGTAACCGCCGTACCCGTGGAGCAATGGTCCATTGACTACATCAACCCAAGCCCCGTCTGTGTGATCCACAACCAGCAGTGTGCCACTCCCAAATTCCACTCCGTTCCCGACTCCAAGAAGATTGAGTTCGAAACTGACCATGAGGATCGCATTGCCACCAACAAGCCACCTTATGCCGCCTTCGATGACCGGGTTAAGCTGGTCCATTTGGACAGTCAAAATGAAGCCACCATCGTGATTGAGTAAGTTTTCGATTTGGATGTTTGATGCCATTTAAATGCTATATACAACACATTTACGATAACATGAACCTTTCCTCATTCTAGATCAAAGGTTGATGCTACGAAACCCAATCTCTTTGTGATCCTCGTGAAGTACTACCAGCCAAACCATCCCAAATACCAGGTGTACTACACATTGACGGCTGGAAAGAATCAATATGATGGCAAGTTCGACATTCAGCACTGCCCCTCGAGTTCCGGATGCCGTGGCGTTATTCGACCCGCCGGAGAGGGTTCGTTCGAGATTGACGACGAGTTCAAGTTCACAATTACTGTGAGTCTTAATAGCAAGCGAATGATAAAAACAAGTTTAAAGGCTCCAAATTCTTTCAGACTGATCGATCCCAGAGCGTTTGGCTGGACTACTTGGTGGTGGTGCCGTTGAAGCAGTATAATGATGACCTCTTGGTGGAGGAGACCTTTGACCAGACCATGGAGTTTATCCAAAACTGCGGCCAGGACCACTTCCACATTACCCACAATGCCAGTGATTTCTGCAAGAAGTCCGTCTTCTCCCTGACGGCAGATTACAACAGTGGAGCACTGCCATGTAATTGCGACTACGCCGGATCCACGAGTTTTGAATGTCATCCGTTTGGCGGTCAATGCCAGTGCAAGCCGAACGTGATTGAGCGCACTTGCGGAGCGTGTAAGAGTAGGTACTACGGATTCCCCGACTGCAAGCCATGCGAGTGCCCGAGTAGCGCTATGTGCGAGCCATCCACCGGAGAATGCATGTGTCCCCCGAATGTCATCGGGGATTTGTGCGAGAAGTGCGCCCCGAACACATACGGATTCCATCAGGTGAGAGGCGTAAACTAAAATGTAGTTTCACCCATTAATATATTTAACTGAAACCACCAGGTGATCGGCTGCGAAGAGTGTGGATGCAACCATATGGGCATTGCCAACGGAAATACGCAGTGCGACCTGTTCAACGGAACCTGCGAGTGCCGTGACAATATCGAAGGAAGGGCCTGCGATGTTTGCTCTCACGGATACTTTAACTTCCCGCACTGCGAAAAGTGCAGTTGCCACAAGCCCGGAACCGAACTGGAGGTATGCGACAAGGTCGATGGCACCTGCTTCTGCAAAAAGAACGTGGTCGGAGTTGATTGTGATCAGTGTGTGGAAGGGACATACAACCTGCAGGACTCGAATCCAGAGGGTTGCACCACTTGCTTCTGTTTTGGCAAGACCTCGCGATGTGACAGTGCCTATCTCAGGGTCTACAATGTGAGTCTGCTGAAGCAGGTGTCTATCAGTACGCCGGAATTCCGTGAGGAAAGTATCAAGTTTGAAATGTGGCCAGTGCCTACGGAGGAGATTCTTCTAAATGAGACCACGCTGAAGGCAGACTTTACACTGCGGGAGGTCAGTGATGAACGACCCGCCTACTTTGGAGTACTGGACTACCTTCTCAACCAGAACAGCCATATATCTTCTTACGGCGGAGACTTGGCTTACACACTACATTTCACCTCTGGCTTTGATGGCAAATACATCGTAGCTCCGGATGTCATTTTGTTCAGTGAACACAACGTCCTGGTGCACCAGAGCTATGAACAGCCCACTAGGAATGAGCCTTTCAGCAACCGCATCCATATAGTGGAGTCGAACTTCCAAACGGTTTCCGGAAAACCTGTTTCTCGAGCTGATTTTATGATGGTTCTGCGAGATCTTAAGTCAATCTTTATTAGGGCCAACTACTGGGAACAGACCTTGGTGGCTCACTTGGCAGATGTGTACCTAACCCTAGCCGATGAAGATGCGGATGGCACTGGTGAGTACCAATTCCTGGCCGTGGAGCGTTGCTCCTGTCCACCAGGCTACTCCGGGCACTCTTGCGAGGATTGTGCTCCGGGCTACTACCGAGATCCCAGCGGTCCCTACGGCGGTTACTGCATTCCCTGCGATTGCAACGGTCACACGGAGACCTGTGACTGTGCCACCGGAATTTGCACAAATTGCCAGCATGGAACTCAGGGTGACCACTGCGAGCAGTGTGTGTCTGGGTACTACGGAAACGCCACCAACGGATCACCCGGAGATTGCATGATCTGCGCCTGTCCTCTACCCTTTGACTCGAACAACTTTGCCACCAGTTGTGAGATCTCCGAGAGTGGAAACGAAATTCATTGTGAGTGCAAGCCAGGTTACACAGGACCCCGTTGCGAGTCCTGCGCAAATGGATTCTACGGACAGCCAGAGAACATGGGAGAGGTGTGCAAGCCGTGCGAGTGCTCTGGGAACATCAACCCAGAGGATCAGGGATCTTGCGACACGAGGACTGGTGAATGCTTGCGCTGCTTGAATAACACCTTCGGAGCTGCCTGTAATCTGTGTGCTCCGGGTTTCTACGGTGATGCTATTAAGCTAAAGAACTGCCAGAGCTGTGACTGCGACGACCTGGGCACCCAGGAGTGCGATCCTTATGTGGGCGTCTGCACCTGTCATGAGAATGTTATCGGCGAGCGCTGCGATCAGTGCAAGCCGGATCACTACGGATTTGAGTCAGGAGTTGGATGCCGCGCATGCGATTGCGGTCCCGCTTCCAATTCGACGCAGTGCGACAAGCACACGGGTCATTGTGCCTGCAAATCCGGCGTGACGGGACGACAGTGCGATCGTTGTGCCGTGGACCATTGGAACTACGAGAAGGAAGGTTGCACTCCGTGCAACTGCAACCAGGGTTACTCGCGAGGATTCGGCTGCAATCCGGAAACGGGCAAGTGCCAGTGCCTGCCTGGCGTCATTGGAGATAGGTAACATTATTTTTGAATTCTAGATACCGAGATTTTCGTTTTCCTAACTTGATTTATTCGATTCCAGATGCGACGCCTGTCCGAATCGCTGGGTGCTGATCAAGGACGAGGGTTGCCAGGAATGCAACAATTGTCACCATGCCCTCCTGGATGTCACCGATCGGATGCGCTACCAGATCGACAACGTCCTTGCCGATTTCAATAGTGTCACCCTTGCCTTCTTCACCAGTCAGAAACTGAACTATTACGACCAGCTGGCCGACGAACTGGAGCCCAAGGTTAAGCTCCTGGATAACAACAGCGTGGATCTTAATCCCTTCAAAAAGGCCAACAGCGAACTGGAGGCGGATGCCAAGGCCTACGCCAAGCAGGTCAACCAGACTCTGGCGAATGCTGTGGACATACGCGAGCGATCGAGCAGCACTTTGGGTAACATCACAGTCGCCTACGATGATGCGTTTAAGAGTGCCCAGCAGGCCAGGGAGGCCATCACCTCGGTAGAGGCTTTGTCCAAGAATCTCGAGGCAGCAGCGAGTACCAAGATTGATGCTGCCCTAGAGCAAGCTCAGCACATTGTGGGAGAAATCAACGCCACTAGCATTGAAGTGACACCCAACAAACAGATCCTGGAGAAGGCTCGGAAACTCTATGAGGAAGTCAACACTTTGGTGATGCCCATCAAGGATCAAAACAAGACCCTGAATGCCCTGAAGAATGACATCGGAGAGTTCAGTGATCATCTGGAGGATCTCTTCAACTGGAGCGAGGAATCCCAGGCCAAGTCCGCCGACGTGGAGCGCAGAAATGTGGCCAATCAGAAGACCTTTGACAACTCCAAATTCGACACCGTCTCGGAGCAAAAGAAACAGGCAGAAAAGAACATCAACGACGCGGGCAATTACCTGATCAATGGGGATCTTACTCTCAGTCAGATCAACCAGAAGTTGGATAGCTTGAGGGATGCTCTGGGTGACCTGACCTCGGTGAACAAGAATGTGGACGAAGAGTTGCCACTGAGGGAGGAGCAGCACAATGAGGCGGAGGCACTCACCGATCAGGCAGAGCAGCGGGCGGCCGAGTTGGCTGTCAAGGCGCAGGATCTGGCTGTCCAGTATACCGACATGACCGCCAGTGCTGAGCCGGCTATCAAAGCAGCCACTGCCTACTCCGGAATCGTGGAGGCCGTCGATGCTGCCCAGAAATTCAGCCAGGATGCCATTGCAGCGGCCGGCAGTGCCACCCAAATTACAGATGGCATTGAGGAAAGAGCTCACCTGGCAGACACTGGATCAGCTGATCTTCTTCAAAGAGCCCGTCAGTCTCTCCAGAAAGTACAAGACGACCTTGAGCCACGTCTCAACGGATCAGCTGGCAAAGTCCAAAAGATCTCCGCCGTAAACAATGCCACCGAACAGCAGCTGAAGGACATCAACATTCTGATCGGCCAGCTGCCAGCCGAATCCCAACGGGACATGTGGAAGAGCTCGAATGCCAATGCCAGTGACGCTCTGGAGATTCTGAAGAATGTCCTAGAGATACTCGAGCCAGTGAGTGCCCAAACACCCAAAGAGCTCGAGAAGGCACACGGCATCAATAGGGATCTGGATCTGACCAACAAGGACATCTCGCAGGCCAACAATCAGCTGGATAACGTCGAGGGCTTCGTCTCGAAGCTCAACGAACTGGCGGAGGACGTCGAGGATCAGCAACAGCGGGTGGGTGAACAAACCCTGCAGCTGGGCCAGGAAATAGAGAATCTGAAGGCCCAGGTGGAGGCCGCTCGCCAATTGGCCAACAGCATCAAGGTGGGCGTCAAGTTCAAGCCGAGCACCATCCTCGAGCTGAAGACGCCGGAGAAGGCCAAGCTGCTGGCCACTCGCACCAATCTCTCCACCTACTTCCGCACTACCGAGCCATCCGGTTTCCTTTTGTACCTGGGCAATGACAACAAGACCGCCCAGAAGAACAACGACTTTGTGGCGGTGGAGATCGTGAACGGGTACCCGATCCTCACCATAGATTTGGGCAATGGTCCGGAGCGTATCACCAGCGACAAGTACGTGGCGGATGGCCAGTGGTATCAGGCGGTGGTGGATCGTATGGGTCCGAATGCCAAGCTCACGATTAGGGAACAACTGGCCAACGGTGAGGTGGTCGAGCACAGCAAGTCTGGTTATCTCGAGGGATCTCAGAATATCCTCCATGTGGATAAGAACAGTCGCCTATTTGTGGGCGGCTATCCGGCTGCTTCGGACTTCAATGCACCCGCCGACTTGACCACCAACTCCTTCAGTGGCGACATTGAGGATCTTAAGATCGGCGACGAGAGCGTGGGACTGTGGAACTTTGTTTATGGCGACGATAACCAGGAGGGCGCCCGAGAGCGTGACGTGCTGCTCGAGAAGAAGAAACCGGTTACGGGTCTGCGCTTCAAGGGCAATGGCTACGTGCAGCTGAACGCCACCTCAAACTTTAAGACCCGCTCCAGCATCCAGTTCAGCTTCAAGGCGGACAAGGACACGGCCAACGGACTGCTCTTCTTCTACGGAAGAGACAAGCACTACATGAGCATCGAGATGATCGACGGTGCCATCTACTTCAACATTAGCCTGGGGGCGGGTGGAGGCGTTATTGCCGGCAGCCAGGATCGCTACAATGACAATCAATGGCACAAGGTCCAGGCGGTGCGGGAAAATCGGGACGGCCTTCTGAAGGTGGACGATGTAGTGATATCGCAGTCAAATGCTCCATCGCAAGCGGACTTGGAGTTGCCCAAGCTCAGGAGATTGTACTTCGGTGGCCATCCGAGACGACTGAACAACTCGATCAGCTTGCAGCCCAACTTCGATGGTTGCATCGACAATGTGGTGATCAATGGAGGAGTTGTGGACCTAACGGAGTATGTAACTGGTGGCGGAGTGGAGGAAGGCTGTCCGGCAAAGTACTCCACCGTGGTATCGTATGCTCCGCATGAGTACGGCTTCCTGCGCATGAACAACATCGTCTCAAACAATAATCTGCATGTGGTGCTGCGTTTTAAGACCAGCCAACCGAATGGCGTGCTTTTCTATGCCGCCAGCCATGACCAGAGCTCTAATATCGGACTAAGTCTGGACGAAGGATTGCTCAAGCTGAACAGCATGGGCAGCCAGTTGGTGATTGACGATCGACTCCTAAACGATGGCGAGGATCATGTGGTTACGGTGCAGCACACCCAGGGTGAACTGCGTCTCTCCGTCGACGATATGGAGACCAAGAGGTGGGTTGAACGAAAGCAAATCGCTGATCTCGTATTAACCTTTATTATTTTTATTTCCCTAAAGACTTGGATCTCCGCAACCGCTGATTCTGGATGGTGGCGACATCTTCTTCGCTGGACTGCCGGATAACTATCGGACGCCCAGAAACGCATTGGCCTCGTTGGCCTACTTTGTCGGCTGCATCAGCGATGTAACCGTGAACGAGGAGATCATTAACTTTGCCAACAGCGCTGAGAAGAAGAACGGCAACATCAACAGCTGTCCCCCGCATGTACTAGGTGAGATTTGCCTATGCCTGAGATCCATATGAACCACTCAATAAACTCGTCCATTTCATTCCAGCCTACGAGCCCAGTCTTGTGCCCAGCTACTATCCCAGTGGAGCCAATGAGGTGGAGTCTCCGTGGGCAAACCCCGAACCCCTTCCCCCACTCAAGCCAGTCATTGAGGCCACAGAGCCACCGACAACGCCTACCACCACAACAACTACAACGACCAGCACAACAACCACATCGACCACCACAACAACGACGACGACAACAACCCAGTCACCGATTTTCCCTGATGAGGACAAGGATGTGGATATTAAATTGCCACAGAAGACTTTAACCACCCGGCCTCCCGCCAAGCTGAATCTTCCCAGTGATGAGCGCTGCAAGTTGCCGGAGCAGCCGAACTTCGATGTGGACTTCGTCGAAGCTGGCTACCGTTTCTACGGACTGCGGGAGCAACGCCTGGAGATCAACTCACTGCCAGTGAAGTTGCGCCGCCACCATGACATGAGCATCTCCTTCCGCACGGAGCGACCCAACGGCCTGCTTATCTTCGCCGGAAGCAAGCAGCGCGATGACTTCATAGCCGTCTATCTCCTGAACGGACAGGTGACGTACGAACTCCGAGTGGGAGCCTTGCTGCGGGCAAAGATCACCAGTGAGGCGGTATTGAATGATGGCTCCTGGCACACCGTGGAGGCGTTGCGCTCTGGCCGCAAGGTCAGCCTGCTTATCGATAAGCTGGAGCAGCCGGGATCCGTGGATCTGAATGCGGAGAGGAGTCCACCGGTGCTGGCGGTCGAGATGCCTATCTACGTGGGCGGCGTCAACAAATTCCTGGAGACGGACGTTAAGAACCTCACCGGCTTCGACACCGATGTACCCTTCTACAACGGCTGCCTCAAGGACATCAAGTTCGATGGCGTCGAACTGGAGACACTGCCGGAGGAGTTCGGAGTGGTTCCGTGCTCGGAACAGGTGGAGCGCGGATTGTTCTTCAACAACCAGAAGGCGTATGTCAAACTCTTCGAACACTTCGATGTCGGCACAGAAATGAAAATCAGCTTTGATTTCCGACCGAGGGACCCCAACGGTCTGCTCTTCTCCGTGCACGGCAAGAGCTCCTATGCCATCCTCGAGCTGGTGGACAACACCCTGTTCTTCACCGTGAAGACCGATCTGAAGAACATTGTGACGACCAACTATAAGCTGCCCAACAACGAAAGCTTTTGCGATGGAAAGACACGCAACGTCCAGGCCATTAAGTCCAAGTTTGTGATCAACATAGCCGTGGACTTTATAAGTTCCAATCCGGGCGTGGGCGGCGAAGGATCGGTCGTTACTAAGACAAACCGTCCGTTGTTCTTGGGAGGTCACTTGAACTTCCAAAGGGCACCGGGCATCAAGACCAAAAAGTCCTTTAAGGGATGCATCAGCAAGGTGGAGGTCAACCAAAAGATGATCAATATTACGCCCAATAAGGTCATCGGCGATATATGGCAGGGTGTCTGCCCGCTTAACTAGTGATGAAAACCGGAAAGACTAACGGACACATGATTCATTTCGACAAAGACTACGGAAAACTGCCAGGAAAAAGCCAAAGTTGCCGAAAACCGCAATTAAAAGGACAACGAACGAACAAATTCTAAACGATCAAGATCGACAGGCCATGGAAAAGTCTGGGGTCCCAAAGATAATGGATCCTTAGCAAAGATGCCAGTCGTATATTTCTTATTCATTTAAGCCAAACAATGTGCCAATCTATTGAAACCATTTACATATGTTATTTCTTAATTCCTTTTTAAACTCTTAAAGTTGAACTTTCAAATTTGTAATTTCGTCGAACCAATAAATATAAAAACATTTTATCGAATTAAAAGTCTGTGTTTTCTGAGTTTTATTGCTTTAAGTTTTTCGCTCTTAATTGGCAAGCAGAATCGTAGTTACCTCTCCTTTGACCAGGATCTTCTTATATTTGCCTTACGGAAACAGAGTTAAATGCTTGTATTAACGTAAACAAAACAAAAAAATAAATTATTTTATTGTCATAAGTTTTATTACAAATTTTCATACATACGTGAATATTTTAAAAAACTAGAAAAAACTAATGGTTCAAAAATCTTTTTGGTTTTTCGTTCGAATTTGTTTTTCAATCATTTTTTTTTCTTCACATAGCTTGGATTTCAATGAAACCGTAAAGGATCATCAAAGAATGATGACCTACACAAGCTGATGAATAAGGCGACCAAGTAATATAGCTAGATTGTTACTACTTGGCTTACTATTTTATAGCTTGTTGGACCTTAGATGTTGTATAAAGTGGCCAAGCGCTCGGTTAGAGTTGGCGAAGATTCATTTAAAAAATGTCGCCAGTATTCCTCACCCACTTGGCTTTTGAAGCCAATAAGAAGCTGAAGTTATCAACTATGTAAGAAAATAAGTACACAGTAATCTAAGCGTTACCTTTTGAGTCATCTGGTGCAGATCCTGTGGTGGATTCACCCACGAGGCGATGGCATCGCAGAAGAATATGAAGTCAGCCATCACGCCAGCAGGATTCACCTCGATCACATGACACATTCCACGGAAGGCAGAGCTCTTCTCATCACTGTCTCGTATTAGACGCAGCGTGGTGCACCTTAATTTTTTTTGCAAAAAAAATGTATATAACAATAGAGCAATTTTAATTAAAAGTAAAAATATATATATTACACACCACTGTCTCACAAATTGGGGCAAATAGGGAGCCAATTCAAAAGGACACACATAACCAAGACGACCGATCGTTATCCCTAAGCCGCAAAAATAAGCACGAATAAATAAATTTAACAAGAAATAATCAGCCAAACGTCTTACCTGCATTCTCCAGCAGCTTCTTGGACGTGTTCGGGCGGTTGATAATAGTTAACAGGTCGCTGAGTACAAGGCCAATGTACTGTTTGGTCTCCTCACCTTTTAAGAAATGCACAATTTACCCCATAAAAAAGTTACTTTGTCAAAGACTATAATACTCACCCAATTTCATACAAATCTCGCCTATGGCCCAGGTGGCATTGTTGCACACAGAAATGAAGTCGGGATTTAGATTTTGACCCAAGATGGGAAAGAACTCGGCCATGAAGGGATGCACATGGGGGAAGCAGGCTTTTGTTAGATCACCCAGCAGAGCAAACGACGATTGGCGCACCTTAAATGATACAATTGCATTGTAACGCAACCGTAAGAAGAGTAGGTTTCCAAGGGAACTTACCTCCGGCAGAACGTCCTGCATGCATTGGTAGAGCAGATGCATGATGTTGCTATTGGCCACCAGCGTCTCAATGTGGCGATCCAAGCCCTCGGCCAAGCCAGACAGCAGATCTAGAGCAACAATCATGCGCTCCTTGTCGGGGTGATCGTACGTTTGGTTTTGTTTGCACAACTAGAGGATGATAAAGAAGAGGTCATTTTCATAGTCCTGTTTTCACAACACTCATTCATACCATTTCCTGGTTGATGGTCTGCTCAATCAGCGAGATGCACCTCCGGTAGACTGGGTCGCAGTATGGCAGAAAACCGGACTGCAAAGCAGTAGCGATGCTCGATAAGCACTCCAGCAGCGGGAACAGGTCTTTGTCGTCGTCCTTAAGCAGATTCCACTTGTCGATTAGCGGCGGCATAAGGATGTCTATATACTGCGGCTTGTTTAGGTGGTGGCCTACGGAATCGGCCAAAGTACCCACTGCATCATATAGGATCAGCAGGTTCTTGTGCTGATACTTTGAGAAAGCAAAGACGAGCGTCTTTAGTATGTACTCCAAGTAGGGCACCAGTTCCGTGCAGGCTTCTTCCTCCAGAGTGGCAAAGGCCGAACAGGCGGCCTCCTGGACGCGCTTGTTGGAGTCCAGAATGCGTTTCAGCAGCTCCTCCATCAGCGGCTTCAAGTACTGGTCGTGCGGCTGGTTGACCACCCAATTGGCGTACCGTGAGAGCGTCCAGCAGGTGATTGAGCGCACCAGGGCTTTCTTGTCGGACAGGCAGCTAATGAGGTAGGGAATCAGCTCTGGTAGGTGCTGGATCATTCCCTGCATGCAGCCCTCCGCGATGGCGCCCAGGGCCAGGACACCGCTCTCCTTGATCACCCACTCCTGGTGAAAGAGCGTTTCTTTCAAGATGGGAAGCACGACGGGCAGGCAATCCTCACGGAACACATTGGCCAGCACATCAAGGGCGGCAGCGCTGCACTTGCGCAGGTTCCATTCCGATAGCGAACTATCGTCGTCCAATCCATCGTCAAAATCGTCATCGTCATCCTCGCCTGCTGCTCCAGCGCCCGCCTCTTGAGTACTCTTGATCGTGTGAGCGCGGGACTTGTGGAATCGCGGGCGAATGTCCTCCTCTCGGTCCGGCACCATGTCATCCTCCTCTACGTTGTCCTTGAAAATCGAGTCGACCTCCGAGTAGCGCCCCGCACACACAAGAACTGGGAGTAACTGCCACAAAATGGGAGCTAGAACATCCTTGCAGATGCCCAGGTCCGCCAGAGACAGCCAGAACTCGGTGGCCGCTAAGGCAACGGCTTCATCGGAGTCCTTGGTACGCAACAACATGTACTGAAAATGAGTGGATTTCGTTAAATGCTAAGGTCTTAAAAACATTATATTGATCGTGTTGTAGTATCAGTATTTCGAAGTATTATTCTCAACGTTTTTCTTCCACAAATCTTACCTCTAGAATCTGCGACATGTGCGGTACCAGGCAATCCATGTGGACTTCCAGCAGCCTTACAAACGCGTAACACACCTTCTGCTGCAACATGGGATCGTCATCACCGGACAGAAGGAACAGGTTGTGAATGAAGCTGTCTATATTCAGCATCAAGGCCTGTGATTTGATTATAATGAACGGGTTGATGCAGGCAATGGCGTGGGAGCGGATCTTGGGGCTGCTATGCTTGAAATACTGCAGGAACTTGGGAATCATAATGCTAAGTGCCATGAAGTCCAGGATCCCGGCGGAATCCTCACAGATGTTCTGCAGGGCACTGAAGGCGCCCTCGCACACATTGTAGTCTTGGGCATCGAGCATCTCGCAGAGCGAGGGTAGCAGCTGCGGCCAGTTGTGCAGGCCGCCGTTGCTGGCGATGGTGGTGATTAGGATGCCTACGGTGGCACGGATCAAAGGCGAGGAGTCGCCGACCGCCTGCAGACACTCGTGTTTAATGTACTCTATTATCTCCGGCTGCAGGAGATTGTAGTGCTCGAGGACATTTTTCTTGAGAATCAGGCCACTCATTGAGCGCGTAGACTCGTCCTCCGTCTTCAGCTTAGTCAGCACGTAGATCAGATAGTGGTTGAAGTCTGGATAGCGATTGCATTCCTCCAGTGTCTGTGGAGCAAAGCAATTGTGGATTGCAAAGCAGTTGGGGCTTTTATTACTCACCATTTGTACCGCCATCTGAGTGCCTGTGTCCGGCGATTGTGACTTTCTAAGGATCAGTATGAGCTGCTGCAGACCTTCTTCCTGTGGTTCCCATCTCATTTTGTTGCTGCTGCGAGTTATCGGCTGGTTTAAGTGTAAAACAGTAGAGTAGGGTTAATGTCCTCTTATGGAGAAACATTTGGGTAATGGAGAGTGACACTCAGTTCGGGGCCAGCTACTCATACAAGCGAATCATATATATATACGAGCTCGATTAAAGTAAACGCCTTCATTTTCTATTGAAAGCATGTTTTAAATAAATAGCGCACCGCCATACTCTATTTTACTTACTTAATTTGTATCCCATTCAAACTGTAGTTTTATTGATGGTAATGTTATACATACATATTTATTCATATATATACTTTCAATTTACACAAATCCTGATAGTTGAATTTTGAAATGGAGTTTTAGTTAAACAAATATTTAAACTCCAGAAGAATAATCTCTAGTTGCCAATATGCTGAACACATATATAGCTAGAGTTAGGGATTATACATATTTGCATGTACTTCATATATGTGTATGTTTTTAATGTGTATAGGCGCGTATATTGTATATTCAATTTTGTTAGACATTTGCAGACCTTTTTCAACCGTTAGTCGATTTAATTTAAAAGGATTAGAGGATATGAACCTATCAGAGGTGTGTGCTCGATAAACTGTAGGTATTACAAGTTGTGTGTGAAGGGATACAATTCAAAATATAATAACTAGGCTTGGTCTTGAGTGACTTAAAGAATCAACGGATGTGAAACATTTTCATCTTATAAAGGACTAAAAATAGTTGTATTTTTCATGATTTTTATTACATACACACGATATTAATGTAATAAGTAAGAAATTAAAATTTCCTTATGCTGCACAAATCTTGTTTGATTTCCTGTTTTTGTTACGTTTTTCTTTGAATTTATTTCATTCCCTAACTTGACCTAACATTTAAATTATTTGTAGTTCCCTACTCTTTTTATTTGGTTTGCCCTATCATAGAGAAAATAATATTTAAAACAAAACCCTATTCTGCATAAAATCTATAAATATATTTTATATAGTTGTATATGTGTGGTGTGTATATGTTCAATGTTGTGTGTGTGTGTAGTTGTAGTGTTGCTTCTGTTTTTTTATTCTTTTTTTTTCTTTGTTTACTGCTTAAACGCTAATCACTAAGATCACCCGAGAGAGATACAAACGCACGCGAACGCGACCGGATTCCGCGATGAATCCGGATTAAGGTACAACGAAATCACGATTTTCCATTTTAGTTTAGTTTCAGTTTTAGCAATTGCTTTACTTTGCTTTAGTTAGACCGTATTATAAATATCAAGTATTGCGATTATTATTTGGGACTCGGGGGCGAAAGTCCCTTATTGTTAGTTTTTAGACTGTTTGAGTTTAACGCGACGCGAACGAACGACCCGAAGTTACTTTATTATCACACGTTCCCCCATTTTGTAAACGAAATAAAAACACAAACGTAAACACGGTTTGCATAATTTCATAATACTATTACTTAGATTTACTTGGTTATCTTCTTGCATCATAATCTTCCTTTTGTTTTTTGTGTTTGACTGAGTTTGGTTTTCCCTAGTTTTATTTTTCGTATTTTTTTTAGTTGTTCCGCGACAATTTCAAAGACTTTTGTTTCCATTTAGTAGTACACTTTACACCTAATCGTATAATCGTAAAAAAATTTGTTCTGTACATAGATCATAAAATATAAAGGTTACGCAAAGCACGAGCCTGTACAAATTATAACAAAGTTTGAAAAAAATAATAATAGTTAATTAATTACACTTGTCCCTATACCAAAAAAAAATTATATAATAATACTTTAAAAAGTGATCAGTCAATGGTTGCTTTTGTATTCAGTTAAAGGATTTGCACAAAAATAATATACTCAACGAAATCCTAATCTCAATTTTATATATTTTTCCCTATTTACTTTTCGCTCTCACAATGCGTAAAAAAACACCTAATTTTGTATAGCATATGAATATCATGTAGTGTATAAGTAAATTTGTATCAGTAACAGTTGCAATATTATCATTATCCTTGTATTATTTTCTTTCATTTTTTCAATTTTTCTTTACCCGACGAGATACCACGAACGACGATTACGATTACGAACGAACGAGCGACGAAAATACGCGAACGCGAAACCGTAAGAACCCGAAACGCGACGATTTTTCTCCGATTCTTTATTTAATATTATTTAAGTGCTGAATGTGTTGGGTTCACTTGTGAAATTCAAATTAGCTGTTGATGAATGCTTTCTATGGTTTTTGAACGGAGTTTTTGTTGAACATCAGTCTTTGTTTGATTTGTAACATTTTCTTCAGCTGAAGCTTTTCAGATACACTTTTTCATGTGCACTTGAATCCATTTTTCCATTTCTGTTCTTTGGATTTCACAATTGGCCCAACACTTTCATTATTCAACGATTTAGTTAAGCATATTTTAGAATTACCGCGACACGAACCCGCAATATCATTTAGTTTCGACGATTTTTTAATTTTTTTTTATTACCTATGAGAAACACCCGTGTGTTCAGCATATTCAATTCTATTTTCGTTTTTGGGCTGGGTCTGAGTGTATTAAAGGTTTGGGCATGTCTACTTTAGCACTGACTCCGGTTAAGTACGGCCGGAACACATCATTTTGGGTATTTTCTACTGAGTTCTCTGCATAATATTGGCATTTAATATGCTTTAAGCGGACAGACAGACAGACTGCCTAAAGAGGTTCTACAGATCTAAGACCCTCTAGTTTGATTTCGAATATACGTGAATCTTCTCTATTAGATTTATCGATATATGTATGTGGTTATAAGTCTGGCTATGCAGTTGTTTGCTTGTTTTTTTTTTTTTGTTTTTTTTTTAGCTTAAATTTCAATGTTAACGTAACATTCGAACAGCATCGAATCGAATAACTTAAGGAGGCTAAAGATTAAGACGACACGCTTACTACGCATAATTGTACATAATTGTCTAGTTAAGATGTTGCTGCTTGGCTGGCTATTGGGTGCAGGTGGGTGTATAATAGCTTGGCTGGCCTAGATGTTGTACATGGTGGCCAGGCGCTCGGCCAGAGTTGGCGGGAATTGCTCCACAAAACGACGCCAGTTTTCTTCACCCACTTGGGTCTTAAAGCCGTGTAGAATCTATAACATTCAACGAATTAGATACAGAGAGGTAAGCTAGACTCTTTAAGGTTACCTTTTGAATCATCTGGTGCAGGTCTTGTGGTGGATTAACCCACGAGGCGATGGCATCGCAAAAGAATATGAAATCGGGCACTACGCCAGCTGGGTTCACCGTGATCATATGACACATTCCACGGAAGGCAGAGTCCTTTTCATCATTGTCTCGTATGTGACGCAGCGATGTGCACCTTCATTTTTTGTAAAGAGTATTAAAATGACATTTCAACAAAAAACAAATAGAATTAGCAAGCTCCAGCAAACACTAAAGTTTAAAAGCAAATTTGAAATTCCATTTAAATGATGTTGAAGAAATTGTTTAAATGATGTGTAATGAGATAAAGAGATGAAAGAAGGGTGTGCGTTTAGGTTTCAGTGTTTAAGCGTAATTTGAGTTACGGCACGGGAAGGATAGATAAGGGAATAGAAAGAAAGAATAAGCTAGTTAAATATAAATCGTGTTACACACCACTGTCGTACAAATTCGGGCAAAAAAGGAGCCACTTCAACTGGGCACACATAACCTAGACGACCGATTGTTATTGCTAAAAGAACAGAAGAAATAAGAATAAATAAATTAACTGAATAAATCAATATTACACGTAGTACGCTTTGATTGATTGCTACACTCGAATCGAATATCAATTGCGATTCTCGGCTATCTATCTATGCATGTTGTATGGGAATGAGGTTCGATTTCATTTTGTTGCTGCTCATGCAACAAGTAACACAAATTAAAACAGAAACAAAGTTCCAGAGATCCACATACACGCATACATTCAGAATCATATAAAATATATATCTTAGACAGTCCGTGATATTCGATAGGCTTCAATCAGCCCAAACGTCTTACCTGTATTCTCCAGCAGCGTCTTGGGCGTGTTCGGGCGGTTGATAATGATGAATAGGTCGCTGAGTACAAGACGTATGTACTGTTTGGTCTCCTCACCTTTAAAGCAATGTACAATTTACTCCATAAAAAAAGATACTTTGTTGAAGACTTTAATACTCACCCAATTTCATACAAATCTCGCCTATGGCCCAGGTGGCATTATTGCACACAGAAATGAAGTCGGGATTTAAATTTTGACCCAAGATGGGAAAGAACTCGGCCATGAAGGGATGCACATGGGGGAAGCAGGCTTTTGTTAGATCACCCAGTAGAGCAAACGACGATTGGCGCACCTTAAATGACACAATTGCATTGTAACGCAACCGTAAGAAGAGTAGGTTTCCAAGGGAACTTACCTCCGGCAGAACGTCCTGCATGCATTGGTAGAGCAGATGCATGATGTTGCTATTGGCCACCAGCGTCTCAATGTGGCGATCCAAGCCCTCGGCCAAGCCAGACAGCAGATCTAGAGCAACAATCATGCGCTCCTTGTCGGGGTGATCGTACGTTTGGTTTTGTTTGCACAACTAGAGGATGATAAAGAAGAGGTCATTTTCATAGTCCTGTTTTCACAACACTCATTCATACCATTTCCTGGTTGATGGTCTGCTCAATCAGCGAGATGCACCTCCGGTAGACTGGGTCGCAGTATGGCAGAAAACCGGACTGCAAAGCAGTAGCGATGCTCGATAAGCACTCCAGCAGCGGGAACAGGTCTTTGTCGTCGTCCTTAAGCAGATTCCACTTGTCGATTAGCGGCGGCATAAGGATGTCTATATACTGCGGCTTGTTTAGGTGGTGGCCTACGGAATCGGCCAAAGTACCCACTGCATCATATAGGATCAGCAGGTTCTTGTGCTGATACTTTGAGAAAGCAAAGACGAGCGTCTTTAGTATGTACTCCAAGTAGGGCACCAGTTCCGTGCAGGCTTCTTCCTCCAGAGTGGCAAAGGCCGAACAGGCGGCCTCCTGGACGCGCTTGTTGGAGTCCAGAATGCGTTTCAGCAGCTCCTCCATCAGCGGCTTCAAGTACTGGTCGTGCGGCTGGTTGACCACCCAATTGGCGTACCGTGAGAGCGTCCAGCAGGTGATTGAGCGCACCAGGGCTTTCTTGTCGGACAGGCAGCTAATGAGGTAGGGAATCAGCTCTGGTAGGTGCTGGATCATTCCCTGCATGCAGCCCTCCGCGATGGCGCCCAGGGCCAGGACACCGCTCTCCTTGATCACCCACTCCTGGTGAAAGAGCGTTTCTTTCAAGATGGGAAGCACGACGGGCAGGCAATCCTCACGGAACACATTGGCCAGCACATCAAGGGCGGCAGCGCTGCACTTGCGCAGGTTCCATTCCGATAGCGAACTATCGTCGTCCAATCCATCGTCAAAATCGTCATCGTCATCCTCGCCTACTGCTCCAGCGCCCGCCTCTTGAGTACTCTTGATCGTGTGAGCGCGGGACTTGTGGAATCGCGGGCGAATGTCCTCCTCTCGATCCGGCACCATGTCATCCTCCTCTACGTTACCCTTGAGAAGAATAATGTCAACCTCTGAGTAGCGCATTCCACGCACAAGAACTGGAGCTAACTGTGACAAATAGGGAGCAAGCACATCTTTGCAGATGCTCTGCTCAGCTAGCGACAACCAAAACTCGGAGGCCTCTAAGGCCACGCCCTCATCAGAGTCCTGTGTACGCAAGAGCATGTACTGGAAAGTGTATAAAATAGCCGAAATTACTATTTTGTTATTGGTAAATACTAAATAAAAAGGGACTAAAATAAATAAATAAATAAAACTATGTTGTTCAGTCAGAGCTAACAATAATGAAAATCAACTAATCCAAATATCTTACCTCAATGATTTGCGACATGTGGGGCATTAGGCGGTCCATGCGTACCTCCAGCAGCATGACCAAACCGTGGCAGACGTTCTTCCGTACCTCGTGATCCTCATCTGAGGACAGGTGAAAGAGGTTTTCAATAAAGCTGTCTATGTTTAGCATCAGGGCCTGTGATCTATTTATGATGAACTGATTGATGCAGGCAATGGCGTGGGAGCGGATCTTGGGGCTGCTATGTTTGAAATACTGCAGGAACTTGGGAATCATAACGTTCAGCGGCCTGTTGAGCGCCGCGGAGTCCAGGATCTCGGCGGAGTCCTCACAGATCTTCTGCAGCGCACTGAAGGCGCCCTCGCACACATTGTAGTCTTGGGCATCGAGCATCTCGCAGAGAGAGGGCAGAAGCTGTGGCCAGTTCTGCAGGCCGCCATTGCTAGCGATGGTGGTGATTAGGATGCCTACGGTGGCCCGGATCAAAGGCGAGGAGTCGCCGACCGCCTGCAGACACTCGTGTTTGATGTACTCCACGATCTCCGGTTGCAGGTTGCTGCCGTGCATGCGGATGTTGTTCTTGAGGATCAGGCCGCTGAGTGAGCGCGTGGGCTCATCCTCTGTCTTCAGCTTGGTCAGCACATAGATGAGATAGTTGTTGAAGTCTGGATAGCGATTGAATTCCTCTAGTTTCTGTAGAGCAAGACGGGAAAGTGTGGATTGAATTGCTAAATAACTGGGGCTTTATTACAAACCATCTGTACTGCCATTTGAGTGGCTGTGTCCGGTGACTGCGACTCCTTGAGGATCGCTATGATCTGCTGCAGACCTTCTCCTTGCGGTTCCCACGTCATTTTGCTGCTGCTAGGGGAGATCGAATGGGTTTTAGTTTTGAGTAGTGAATTAGGGTTAATGCCCTCGCAGGGGTGCAAATGGGTGAGAAAGAGAGGGTGAGAGAGACACTGCGTTCGAGGCCACTTACGCACACTAGCGCACTTCGCACCCACACTCGCGCACGGACATCTGCTGATGTGATATATACGTGTTCTGAGCGATTTCCCTTTGGCAATTAATGGGTTTACGGCGGACGGCGGGAGATGAAAGATATTGCCCCGCGAGGGACGTGCGACTTCCTGCCCAGAACCCAGACAGAGAAAAACCCGAACCGAACCCGCCTACCACCGCCATGTTCCTTGGCAATCGGTTACCCAGCCGAAAAACGCTTTTCCGCGAAACGCCTTGGACTACTCTTACACCCCGTACTTACCTTTGGGTGGTGGCTGTGCTTTAAAACTAGTTAGGTTGGAATTATCTTGAGCTTTCCTACAAATTTTCTCTTTTTTCACCTTTTCTTCGCACAATTAGCTGAGTTTTGTACTAGAGGTGGAGAAATATCGATGGAAACATCGAAATCATCGATAACCGCGAACATCGATATTTCTCCACCTCTGCCTTTCTGTTGTTAAGGATGGGAACGTGCCAGTAGAGCACTTGATATAAATAATTTGTATATAATTGTCAGTTTTTCAATATTTTTTATTTATTGAATATTTTAAAAAGTTTGTTTAGGTATATAAATATATAATTAAACAATTGTTAGCTCAATAAAAAGAGTTGAAAACAAAAGGAATAAATAAATAATAATAAGACAATGTGAGATCTTCTAGTGCTACTATTACTCCATTCGATTTTAATTTTACAAAATAGTTAGACTTATTGCTAATTTTTTAAAATTTTTATAAATGTTTTAGCCCAACAACAAACAGTTAAAACATAAGAAGCTCAAACTGATTTTTTAAATGGGAAACGTTAAATTTAATGATTTTACTCTCAATAATCATGACGTGACACGAAATTTTTAATATCGATATAAAAAACCCATCTCTATATGCTGGCAGCTACGGTAACACTCACAGAATCCCCAGAAATGCGGCCACACATTTACTAACTTAGAGTGCCCGCATACGCCACCCTGGTCAATTTTGTTTGGGAGAGGGACAGACAGAGGAGTCATTAATTTTAAACAAAGGACCACGCTTCAGGACATTCATCCCGGATCGGACAAAGCCGCGACTCGCTTTCTCCAGGGCCGAGTGAAAGTTTCTCGCCTTGTCGCAGTTTAACATCCGAAGCGACCAGACATGAACAAGCGCAACCATGTGAGAAGAAAACTACGATGCCGCAGACAAAGTAAATGGATTGAATATGTGCAAATTAATTTCTTTTGCAGATCCGTCTGCCGCCAGAGGTAAATCGTCTGCTGTACGTGCGCAACCTGCCGTACAAAATCACCTCGGACGAGATGTACGACATATTCGGAAAATTCGGGGCCATTCGACAAATACGCGTGTAAGTTAACCGAAGTCTGCCTGATGCCGTGAATCCTCTCAAGAAATCACCGTATCCTTTAACAGGGGCAACACTCCGGAAACGCGCGGCACCGCCTTTGTCGTCTACGAGGACATTTTCGATGCCAAGAACGCCTGCGACCATTTATCCGGCTTCAATGTGTGCAATCGCTATCTGGTGGTGCTCTACTACCAATCCAACAAGGCCTTCAAGCGCGTGGACATGGACAAGAAGCAGGAGGAGCTGAACAACATCAAGGCCAAATACAATCTGAAGACGCCGGAGGCTCCTTAGAACCCCCTGACGACGCGGCAGGCGGGGATGGGCCGGATCGGCATGATGGGCCCCACCAGCTGACGCCCCACTTCCACCAACCATTTTCCATTGTTTAGAGAACTTCTCGCTCTCCTTATATGTATACCAAATTTTTGCTATCTACTTGTAGATTTTTTTGATCGCATTTTGTATCATTTGAATCTAATCATTATCATCCATCCATCACTCCATCTATCATATGAACGGCCGGAGATCTCGCAACCATTTGCGGTTCGTATACGGCTGTTTGCAATCATTTGACGACATAAAGACACTCTCTCATCAAAATAACAAGCAAGTTAAAGTAAAAATAAAAAAAAAATCGCAAACACTAGACATTTTTGATTAATTCTTGGAACGGACTTCAAGGACTTAAATCTAGCTATTAGTATAGCCCAATATTAAGGTAATTTTGATACACTATCAATAGTTTAATTATTTACTTAAAACTAGAGTAACAATTAAGCGATAGTTAAACATTAACCAACAATTTAAACTCCCACTCATTTCGGATGTCTTGAAGCCTTATGGAAACCTTAAGCTAATGTCTGTGATCAAGACGCCATGGATTCAGGATTAGTCTGGCCAACTGCCGCTGCCTGATACTGTTCGTAGGTGTTCTGCTGCTTCTCCAGTGTCCGTTGTTTTTCCAGATCCTTGAGCTCCTCCTTGGCGGCCTCAGCAATCTCCTGCCGGAGAGCCTCCACCTCCCGTCTTCGCTCGCTTTTATGCATCGCCTTCTGGCGGGCTCTTTCGCTGATTTCCTTGGGTGGTCTTGGAGGCTTTGGCGGCTTTTCATCATGGACTTTTTGATGGCGGATTAGGGCAGCTTCCTGACGGAAATGAGTGCCACAAACCTTACACTCATACGGCTTTTCGCCTGTGTGTATCCATTCGTGTTGCTTGAGGGATTGCGAGTTGGCGAAGCGGCGCGAGCAGAAGCGGCATTCAAAGTCCTTAACCTTTTCGTGGACGCTCTTGTAGTGGCGCTTCATGTTGCCCAGGTTATTGAATCCCTGGCTGCAGCCGGGACACAGATGCATACCCTCCTTCTGGACGAACTTCGACCGCATGGGCACTTCGCTGGGCGGCATCTGAACTATGGGTATGGGATTAACCACGGTTCCCGCCAGTTGGGCCAAATCCACTCGCTCCACGCGCCGCGGATCCTTCGGTATGGTGGCCACAGATTCGGCGCACACCTTTAGCAATTGATCCGTGTCCACTTGGATTTCTCCCGGATCCGCCTCTCCCTGTCTTTGTCGATATGTTTCCAGAGCTCTCTCCACGCTCTTTTCGTGGATTTTTAGGTGTTTCGTAAGGCTTTCCGTATACAGGAACTTCTTGCCACAAACCTGTAAAGCGGAATAATGTTAAAGCTTGAACAAAGGATATCAAAACCAAATCCTCACTTTGCACTCGCAGCGCTTCTCTCCTGTGTGCGTCATCTCGTGGATCTTGCAGGCATGCGATTTTCCAAAGGTTTTCCCGCAGTACTGGCAGGCAAAATTCCGGATCTTCTCGTGCACGATCTTTACGTGGCTATCCAGTGCCCGCTTTGTGTGGGTGGCATGATCGCAGATCTGGCATTTGAACTTTTTCTCCTGTGTGTGGGTGAGGATGTGCTTGCTCCATTCCTGTCGCGTGGTCTTTCCCACTCCGCAGTACGGACACACATAGTTCTTAATGCCGGCATGACGGAGCAGATGGTTCTTGAGGGCACTATTGATGTGGAAGCCCTTGCCGCAGATGTTGCACGGATAGGGAAGCTCCTCGCCTGTGTGCTTGTACATGTGCTTCTTTAAAGCCACTGGGCAGCGGAAGACCATGCCGCACTCCCTGCAAGGCTGCTCAACCCGCGGAGCACTCACCCTCGCCTGGTTGTGCACCTTTTTTAGGTGGATGGTCAGCAGGCGGAGACGGGGAAATAGCAACCTACAGCCCTCCACTGTGCAGGGAATCTCGTCGGCCTTCTTGGTGTGTGCATAGTCCACGTGCAAACGCAGCGCACCTGCTGTGGTGAAGCCCTTGCGGCAGTTTTCCTCCACGCACTGAAAAGGCAATAGGTCGTTGTGATGCCTCATGTGCTCCTCGTACTTTGACGACTTTTTGAACTTCTGCTGGCAGATGGGACAGGTAACCAAGCGGTGCAGGTGGCGCTCGTCGCTGAGGAACCTCCGTCGTTTGGCCAGGGGCTGCTCGTCCTCGCTGGAGAAGCTCTCCGCCGCAGGCTTGTTCTCCTCCTCCTCTTCATTGGAGGAATTCCCATTGCTACGACCGCTACCATGATCCTCCGGTTCCCTGTCCACTGTTTCCAGCATCTTAAACACATCCTCCTCGTTGTCAATCATCTCCAGTTTGTGGTTCAGCAGGGGATCATAGGTGGATTGTTCCTCCTGCCTGCCCAATGCCTCAGATTCCTCGGCCACGGGCTCAAAAAGTCCCATGGGAATAATCCTGTTGCTGGCCACCATTTCCTTGAAGCGTTTCATGGATGCCGTACACAGTTCCCGGAAGTCGTGCAGTTCATTTAGCTTAGTGTAGCACTGGGTGCAGAGGTGCTTCGGGAAGCCGTCACTTTGGTCCGCCTCCAAAGAAGTGCAAGCCATTAGTTTGCTGACCAGGTCTGGAGCGCGGAACAAATCATGGCGCTCATCCTGGTCCATGTGGATCAAGCAGATGCGACACAGCGAGTGGACGGAGTGCTGGAGCTCCGTGGTGCCCATTTTTCCCGATTCTCGGGGAGATTCCAACCCGAGCTTCAAAACAAATTTGTTGCAGTGTGTCAGACAGTGTGACCGCCGCACATTATTTTTAACCCGCTTCTCTTCGACGGGTGAAAAATCCACCAAAGGCTTTGTTCTTCTCCCATTTAAAAAAAATTATACATTATATATATATATATTAGTTGTATAGTATTATAGTACAACTATAATCGTTGTGCTAATAAAAAATAAATTATTTGAAAACTAAATTTTATAAATTAATATATAAACAAGGCATACATAACTGCAAAAAAATGTTATTTTTATATGTTGACTCACACACACACACTTTTATAAGGTTCGTAAAAACATAAAATATTTTCTCAATCTACTAAATTTTGAGAATGACATGTCAAAAACATGTGTGTTGCCAATCACACAGAGTTTAAATAAAAAAACCTGATAATAATTGTAATAAGGTAAATTAGAATCACCCAACAAGGGTTAATTACGTTCAATTAAGCGAGTATCCAGCCCTGTACAACTCAACGAGTAGGCACTCCGGCGAGTAACTCACTGGCAACCGTACTTGCTTATTGCCCACTCGCCCGATAGCCAGTCGACGAGTATACAATTTTTTTCTGTGTCAATATTATTTTATTGCCAACTGCCCGATATAGACGCAAAAAGCTAAAGAAAACCGCCCCAATCCGCAGCGCCGATTGCGAGTGAAAGCAAGATGAACGAGGGCAGGCAGTACTCGATCCACAGCCTGTGCAGGATCTGTCTGAACCACCTGCAGAACGACGCCGCCTACGATTTGTATCTGGTGCCAGGACTCTCGAAGAAGCTCTGTTTCTGCACCTCCTTGTCCGTGGAGCAGAACGACGGCTTCCCGAAGAACCTGTGCACCCTGTGCTACACCAAGCTGAACGACCTGCACGACTTCCAGAGGCAGTGCGTCGACTCCGTGCAGAAATTCCAGGACCTGGTGGCCAGCAATGTCTTCGCCTGCCAGAGCAGCTTTGATGTCCTCGATCCGAATGCGGCGGTCCACGACTACCAGGGCGAGGACGAGGAGCATGTCAACTACGATCCGCTCCTCAACCACAAGATGGAGCTGATCGAGAACGAGGAGGACGTGTTCAAGATGCTCGAGCACGTCGACAAGGAGGCCGAGGAGGTGGAGAACGGGACCAAGGTGGAGGTGGAAGACCCGTGCAACGTCACCGTCAAGATGTTCGACGACGACTCCTCCATCGAGAGCGGCAACGACAACGACCACGACCTGGACTTCGAGCCGAACAGCAGCGATGATGACATTCCGCTGGCCCAGCGCATGCGGGGACCAGCCACCGGATCCGGATCCCAGCCATCCCGCTCGGCCCACCAAAACAAGCCCAAAGGGAAGCCCAGGGGCCGGCCAAAGAAGATCAAGCCACCGCCGCCGGACGAGGAGGAGCTGAGCGGCTCATCGTCCGATTCGGATGACTCCGAGGACGGCAACTCGCGGGGGGACAAGCCCAAGAGGAAGCGCATTCCCATGGAGGAGCGCCACCTGCACCGCATCATCGACTGCCACATCTGCCACCAGAAGTTCAAGAAGGCCATCCGCTACGAGGAGCACATGAAGTACCACAACGACCTTCTGCCCTTCCAGTGCAAGGTGGAGACCTGCAAGAAGGGTATGTCCAGCATAAAGCTCTTAAAATACAGCTTCTCATTCCCACTTCACTTCATCCCCTTTCCAGGCTTCACCACAGCCAATGGGCTGCGCATCCACATCGACCACGCCCACACGGAGCTGTCCGAGGTTCATGCCTGCATCGCCGAGGGCTGTGGCAAGACCTTCCCGCGCGTCCGCCTGCTCACCTTCCACATGAAGAAGGTGCACGGCATCACCAAGGCGGCGGCCCCGCTGCGCGACTTCCCCTGTCCGGAATGCGACACGGTCTTCCGCTGCCCCACGGCGCTCAAGAAGCACATGTACAAGCACACGGGCGAGGAGCTGCCCTATCCGTGCAACATCTGCGGCAAGCGTTTCGTGATCAACAGTGCGTTAAGAGATCACCTTATGCGCCATGCGGGCATCAAGAACCATGTGTGTCCGTACTGCGGAGTGGGCAAGACCACGCGCCAGGAGTGGAACGCCCACATCCTCACACACACCAAGGAGAAGAAGTTCAAGTGCCGGCAGTGCGACCACGCCTCGCACAACAAACAGGCGCTATCCAACCACGTGAAGGTGGTGCACGAGAAGCGCAAGGACTTCGCCTGCCAGTACTGCGGAAAGACCTTCGGCAAGAGCCACGCCTGCAAGGTGCACGAGCGGAGTCACACGGGGGAGAAGTGCTGCGAGTGCAAGATCTGCGGCAAGATCTTCCTCTGCGAGAAGAGCCTCACCAAGCATTTGAAGACCCACGAGAAGCGGGATCTGCCGCCGGCAGAGCCTCATCGGCAACAACTCAACATTCCCATGCCCGGCCAGATGCCCGGTCAGATACCGGGCCAGATGCCGGGCCAGATGCCGATGCAGATGCAGGGTGATGGCCTGGTGCAGATGGATCCCCATCAGATGCCCAGTGATGAGATGCTCAAGGCGTGCGGCGGCGGGTCCGCTGCAGTGCCTCCCAAGCCGAAGAACTCGCGACGCGTCCAGCGGGTGGACATTTCCCAGCTGGCGGGCACCGCAGTGAATCCGATTCCCTCCGTCTCGGTGCCCTCGTGGTCGCCACAGGTCAACTTCACCAAGAAGGAGGGCCAGCACATCTGTCCGGGCTGCGGACGCGGCTTTAACAACATTGGAAACATGAAGCTCCACTACAAGATCATCCACGAGAAGGTCAAGGACTTCGCCTGTCGCTTCTGCCCCAAGAGATTCTCCAAGGCGCAGATTCTGCGCCACCACGAGTGGATCCACACCGGTGAGAAACCATTCGAGTGCAAGATCTGCGGCAAGCACTTCCGCCAGGAGACGGCGCTCAAGAAGCACATCAAGACGCACGAGAAGCCGAACAGGAGGCACGTGCCCGAGCGCAGTGCGCCCACCCAGATCACGTTCCGCAAGCTGGAGCCGGACGCAGAGCCGCGGAACTTTGACCAGTACCAGGATCCGGCAGTGGAGCGGGCGGCGGCCACCGCCGAGCTGCTGGCGCACCAGCTGGAGGAGAACGAGGCCAAGCGTAAGGCGGACATCGAGCGGCAGAAGATCGCGGCGGCCGCCTGCGAGCAGCTGACGAAGCTGCAGCAGCAGCAGGAGATCATGAAGGCCACCACCTCGTACGATGGCTACTACGCGCAGAAGGCCCAGGCCGAAGGCACCAGTCTGGACGCCCTGAAGATCGACCACGTCTAGGCACCTAGGCACCTGGTGGGCCGGCTTTACCTTACGAGTATATGTATACACTAGCGACATATGTATCCACTTCTACAGCAGCTGTCACTGTCCGAATTGCTCTCTAGCTGGATCAGATTGTAGGTTTATAAACACTCTTCAGTAATCGAGTGCATATTACAATATGAACACTTCTTATTTTTTACATACGTTTATACATACATGCAATATATGTATTTTGTTTTTCCGTGTAATGTCTCCCGTGCTTACTTAGAGTAATGGATTAAAAATTATATACATAACGTCATTGAAGTTTCCTTTTAGTGGTAAAGACTCCCACACTTGAGCTCATCAAAAGAGCACTTTGCAATACCAGTGATTTTTACTCTTATTGGAGTACAATTTGTTTCTAATCCCACAAAAAATCACCTTAACTTTAATTTTTATTAAATAAGAGAATTATTTAAAAGCCGTAATTACGAAATTTTTAATAAAATACAAACTATTTGTTTTTTCTTCACATTTAGTTGAATAAAGTAAAATGCTATTTATAAATAAAAAACATGATTTTAACTTTAGTTGTCCGACATATTTTTGAATTGAAATAACAGTCCAATTTACAATTTCATAATCACAAAGTTCTCAGGAAGAGTTCAATGCATTTTTGGGGTGTGACTTCAGGAAAATTAAGGACCTATTTGCTTGTCATCTGGTCTGGTTTCTTGGAGTTCCACCAATGGATCTGAAGACTCCTTAAGCAAATAATTTTAATTAAATATTTTTTGAAATCATTTCAAAATACTCAACTATGTCTAAATGACTACCATTATCCATTTTTAATGCCATCAGAGTTGAGAAAAACAATTTAGCCTCCCTTCTTCTGTCCTCGTCCTCCTGCAGGACCTTTCTTTGCTTTTCCAGGATCGCCCTTAGCCTTGTCACCTCAAGTTTTAGCCTATTAATTTCAACTTCAGCCTGTTCGGTATCCATTTTCTTGGCATCACTTTCAAGAACTTGTATGGAAATTTTATTTGCTTGCTCCATTTTTAAGAAATAAATTTCAATATCAGTAAGACGTTCAATAAATTCGGACTACTATATTTTTCATAATCGAACTATAGAATAGTTGCAAACGAATGTATCAGAACATATATGGATAAGCTTCATGTTCTTGAATATAATAGCAAATGTATATCAAAAGAATATCGGACAAAAAGGTATCGCAAAAATATATTTTTGTCTACTAAATTGCTTCAAAAGTAAGGAAGTTTAAGGTATTGAAACCAGCTCTAAATGTGTCCTTCAAGAAATCGAACTCAAAACATATTGTTGCATACTTTTAGACACCTTTGTGGGTAATTTCAAACCGCTAAATATTTCTGCAGCACTCCTATGTACCATTTCTGAAAACGTATTTTGTGAATTTAAATATTGGATGTAAATTTCTGTAATTTAACATTCCCAGCGTAAAAGTCTACATTAAAAAGTTAACCCACTAAAATTAAATTTAAAAAAAAAAATTGAAACGTAGATCTCTCGCATGTTGGTAGACTGCATACAAACACGAGTTCAGAAAGAATGTTATATCCCTGTGCCGGTGCTGTTTTTTTAACCACCACTGTGAGTACCATCGCTTCGCTGGGTGGCTTAATTATGCATACACACACTCGCTGCGTCTAATACGCCCATCGTACCCTTTCCGCTGCGCACATGTGTGCATAAGAAAAACAAAACAAAACGCCTAAGTGTAGGTGTGCAAGTGCTAGAGCTGCGCAGTTTGCCAGCGAATGCACTCGTCGCTTTCGGGTAATCGATAACCGAATTGCTGACGAGCGTACACACGGACACACACACAAGCACACGCGAGTACACACAAATGTGTGTTGTATTGGATTTTTTTCTAGACGGAGAACATTTCGATTGCTGCACTTTTCGGGATTTCAGGATCGCCCACCGCCGAATTGAGTGTCCAAAATGAACGAGGGGAGCCAGTACTCCATACACACGGTGTGCCGCACCTGCCTGTCCACGCTGGACAACACGGCGGCCTACGATCTGTTCCGGGTTCCCGGTCTGGCCAAGAAGCTGTGCGTGTGCACTTCGTTGTCCGTGGAACAGGCGGACGGCTTCCCCAAGAACCTCTGCACAGTGTGCTTCGCCAAGCTGAACGACCTGCACGACTTCCAGAAGCAGTGCGTCGACTCGGTGCAGAAGTTCCAGGATCTGGTGGCCAGCAACGCCTTTGCCTGCCAAACCAACTTCGATGTCCTCGATCCCAGTGCCGCCGTCGCAGATCTGCCCGGCGAGGAGGAGGACAACGTCCACTTTGATCCGCTGCTCAACTCCAAGATCGAGATCATCGAGAACGAGGAGGATGTCTTCAAGATGCTGGAGTCCGTCGAAAAGGAGGTCGAGGAGGTGGAGATGGAGCTGGAGCAGCCCTTTGCCGACGAATCGCAGGACGACTCCTTTGAGAGCGGCAACGACAACGACCTGGACGCGGACTTCCAGCTGAACAGCAGCGACGACGACATTCCGCTGGCCCAGCGCAGTCGGCGTGGTGCTGCCCGTGGCTCCAAGGCCAAGGCCAAACCCAAGGCGTCCGCCCGACGGCAGAAGGATGAAGAGGACGAGGAGTCCGAGGATTCCAGCTCTTCGGAGGACTCGGATGGCAATCCCAAGGACAAGCCGAAGCGCAAGAGGATTCCCGCAACGGAGCGGGATCGCCACCGGCTGATTGACTGCCACATTTGCCACCAGAAGTTCAAGAAGGCCATCCGGTACGAGGAGCACATGAAGCACCACAACGACTTGCTGCCCTTCCAGTGCACCGTCGAGAGTTGCAGGAAAGGTAAACCCAGCATTAACAGCTCCCAAAAGGACGAGATTCTTATCGTTATCCTACGTTTCTAGGCTTCACCACCGCCAACGGGCTGCGCGTCCATGTGGAGCACGCCCACACGGAGACGTCGGCCATGCATCCGTGCACCTACGAGGGCTGCAACAAGTCCTTTGCCCGGCCCGTGCTGCTCAGCTTCCACATGAAGCGGGTGCACAAGGTGGACACACCGCAGAGGGACTTCCCGTGCACCGAATGCGAGAAGGTCTTCCGCTGCCCCACCGCCCTCAAGAAGCACATGTACAAGCACACCGGCGAGGAACTGCCCTTCGCCTGCGAGATCTGCGGCAAGCGCTTCCCGATCAACAGTGTGCTGCGCGATCATCTGCTTCGGCATGCGGGCATCAAGAACCATGTGTGCCCCTACTGCGGAGTGGGCAAGACCACGCGCCAGGAGTGGAATAAGCACATCCTCACACACACCAAGGAGAAGAAGTACGAGTGCCGGCAGTGCGACCACGCCTCCCACAACAAACAGGCACTGGCCAACCATGTGAAGGTGGTGCACGAGAAGCGCAAGGACTTCGCGTGCCAGTACTGCGGAAAGACCTTTGGAAAGTCGCACGCCTGCAAGATCCACGAACGGAGCCACACGGGGGAGAAGTGCTGCGAGTGCAAGATCTGCGGCAAGGTGTTCCTCTTCGAGAAGGGCCTCACCAAGCACTTGAAAACGCACGAGAAGAGGGATCTGCCCAAGACGCAGGGGGCCAATCCCTTGATGGGCGACGGGGCCAGTGGCTCCTCGACCATCGCCAAGCCCAGTCCGCATCTGCGCGGTCGCGTCGAGCGGGTGGACATTGCCCAGCTGGCGGGAACGGTGGCCAATCCGATTCCATCGGTGAACCTGCCCTCGTGGTCGCCGCAGGTCAACTTCACCAAGAAGGAGGGCCAGCACATCTGTCCGGATTGCGGCAAGGGCTTCAACCATGTGAGCAACATGAAGCTGCACTACAAGGTGGTGCACCAAAAGGTCAAGGACTTCTGCTGCCGCTTCTGCCCGAAGAGATTCGCCAAGAAGCAGTATCTGCGGCACCACGAGTACATTCACACCGGTGAGAAGCCGTACGAGTGCAAGGTGTGCGGGAAGCACTTCCGCCAGGAGCAGGTGCTCAAGACGCACATGAAGGTGCACGACAAGCCGCCCCGTCCTCCGGGCAAGCCCAAGGAGCCGGCGGGTCCGAAGGCGGAGAGCAGCACCACGGTGAAGCGGCAGCAGCCCAAGAACTTCGAGCAGTACCAGGATCCGGCCGCGGAACGGGCGGCGGCCACCGCCGAGCTGCTGGCCTACCAGATCGAGGAGAACGAGACCAAGCGCAAGGCGGAGGCGGAGCTCCGGAAGATCCAGGAGGCGGCCTTCGAGCAGCTCAACAAGCTCCAGAAGCAGACAAACACCTACGATGGCTTCTACGCCCAGAAGGCGGAGGCGGAAGGCACTTCGGTGGATGCCCTGAAGCTGGACCATGTGTGAGCGGCAGGATCTCCCGGAAGCACCTGCATCCCATCCCGTATCCGCTTTCGTTTACGATCCCTTTCATTATGTGTTTCTATGAAGGACATATGAGTTATAGGTCTCTAAGGTTTACCAACTAGTTTTCGTAACTTTGCAAACGTGTTTTTACTTTTTGTATTTAAATCTCCCCCTCTCAGCTTCTTAAGTTTTTACTTTACTTATTGTCTCATTTATAAATGACTTTAATGATTTAAATATAAGGTTGTCAAATATTCTCCATCTCCTTGGCGATGTCACGATATGCCATATGCAGGTCTTACCCGATGTATTCCACGATTTGATCGGTGTTCGTCGTCACAGGTCTTCCGCCGGCTGGCTTATCCATGGTGCCGTTTTCTCTGATCCGTCGAAACCATTCCCCAAATCACCATTAATCTCACGGAAAGTTTCTCTAGCGGATTTGCCTTTTGCGAACGAAAACTTTAGTGAACTCCACGTCAATAACTATTGGAAGTATTAATTAAACTGGTCAAGCACCAGTGTCGTTTTTTAGGGTATGTCAAAACCTTTCAAATTATGTATACATAGTATTGCCAGATAGAAATTCAAAAGACTAAAAGGCGGAAAGGAGATATTTGACAATAATATTATAATAAACAGTAATAAGCATTCAAATTTAGTTTAGTGTTGGTAAACGAGTTAAATTTCAACGAATGTTACGATGAGCAGCAGTGCAAAGCGCCTGGCTTCTTTTAACCCAAAACATGGTCATTTTTAGAAGTAATTTATTGCAAAACCTAAATATTTATATCCTGCAACCACAAGCAACTATTAGTTCAACATAGTTAACTTTTGTAAGTATTAATTTAGTGGGTTGAAAGTGCTACATTATTTATTTAATTATTATACATGTTTTGTCAAATGGACAAATTCACTATTTTAACAAAGGCTTTTGAGCTGAGTACTTAGTTTTATATTAATATAATTAGCAATATGTAAGAAAACGATTATATTTAATTTTCATAAAGCAGCTACTCACATCGTTTATAAATTGAAATGAAACAAATTGGTAAATTAATTTGTGGCTTGTACTACTAGCTATTTTTTGGCTACTTTCGGCTGCTCTAACTTGGCATCACTGGCTTGTGTTTTATTGTATTTGTTTTGGTTACTCTGACGCGTAAAGTTTTTCTCGGCTTAATACTCCGTGGTTTTGGCCATTAGCCGCAGCTTTCGATTCCCACTGGAACGGGCATCATGGAGGAGGATGACGCCCAGTACTCGGTGCACGCAGTGTGCCGCATCTGCCTGAATCGCCTCCCGGAGAACGGCGGCAAACCGGAGTCCTTCGACCTGTTCCTGATTCCCGGACTGGCCAAAAAGCTGTGCGTGTGCACCTCGTTGTCCGTGGAGCCGTCGGATGGATTCCCCAAGAGCCTGTGCACGCCGTGCTTCAACCGACTGGACGACCTGCACGAGTTCCAGAAGCTGTGCGTCGACTCGGTGCAGAAGTTCCAGGACATGGTGGCCAGGAATGTCTTCTGCTCGCCCGCCAGCTCGCAAATCAAAACCTTCGATGTGCTCAACGTGGCCGGAAACGAGGCTGAATTGGCGGGCCAGGAGGAGGAGGATCGCATCAACTTTGATCCGCTGCTGGATCACAAAATGGAGCTGATCGAGAACGAGGAGGATGTCTTCAAGATGCTGGAGCACGTGGACAAGGAGGCCGAGCAGGTGGAGAAGGAGGTGAAGCAGGACGAAATGGATGCCGCCGACCTGATGACCATTTTCGGGGCTGATTCCTCGGAGGAGAGCGACGATGACTTCGAGCAAGGTGTGGACTTTGAGCCCAACAGCAGCGATGGCGATGATGATGTGCCTCTGGCCCAGCGCTTAAGGGAAAATACCAGGGTGAAGCCCAAACCCAAGCGACTTCATATCAAGGAAGAGGAGCAGGAGTTCCTCTCACACTCCGAGGAGGAGCAGGAGCAGGAGCAGGAGCAGGAGGAGGAGGAGGACGAGGAAGGGGAAGGGGAGAAGACGAAGACCAGGCGCAGGAGGATTCCGCCCGGTGAACGCCACCTGCACCGCATCATCGACTGCCACATCTGCCACCAGAAGTTTAAGAAGGCCATCCGCTACGAGGAGCACATGAAGCACCACAACGATCTCCTGCCCTTCCAGTGCAAAGTGGAGACCTGCAGGAAAGGTATAACACTCCCTCCCCCAAATAAGATCTTGTCATAAGCATTCCTGATTTTAGGTTTCACCACCGCTGGCGGATTGAGGCTCCACATCGACCACGCCCACACGGAGCTATCCGAGGTGCACTCATGCAGTGTCGATGGCTGCGGCAAGACTTTCCCGCGCATCCGCCTGCTCACGTTTCACATGAAGAAGATGCACGGCATCAGCAAGGCGGCGGCACCGCCACGGGATTACCCCTGCTCCGAGTGCGACAAGGTCTTCCGCTGTCCCATGGCGCTCAAGAAGCACATGTACAAGCACGACGGCAAGGAGCTGCCGTTCCCCTGCAACATCTGCGGCAAGCGTTTCGTGATCAACAGTGCTTTAAAGGATCATCTAATGAGGCACGCGGGCATCAAGAACTACGTGTGTCCCTACTGTGGGGTGGGAAAAACCACCAGGCAGGAGTGGAACACGCACATCCTGACCCACACGCAGGAGAAGAAGTTCAAGTGCCACATATGCGAGCACGCCTCGCACAACAAGCAAAGTCTGGCCAACCACATTAAGATCGTCCACGAGAAGATCAAGAACTATGCGTGCCAGTACTGCGGGAAGACCTTTGGAAAATCGCATGCCTGCAAGATTCACGAGATGACGCATACAGGAGAAAAACGCTGCGAGTGCAAGGTATGAAGAAGGATATTTTCCCGCACCCAAACTCCAATTGAACCCTCCATTTTTTGTAGGTTTGTGGCAAAAAGTTTCTCTATCCCAAGAGCCTGACCAAACACCTAAAAACTCACGAAAAGCGGGTGTTGCGGGCAATCGAGACGTATCGTCAGCGGCAGGTGGAGATGGGTGAGTCACCTGGCGACCAGGTGGACAATCCACCAGCGCCACCTGTGGAGGGCGTGTCCGTCGAGCCGATCATGACCCAAAACGCCGCCGATGAATTGCTCAAGGTGTGCGCCGAGTCCGTGGCCACCATACCCAAGGATCCACGCCGAGTGCAACGGGTGGACCTGGCCCAATTGGCAGGCACCGCAGTGAATCCCATACCCTCGGTTTCAGTGCCCTCCTGGTCGCCGCAGGTGAACTTCACCAAGAAGGAGGGCAAGCATATCTGCCCCGGTTGTGGACAGGGATTCAACAACATTGGGAACATGAAGCGCCACTACAAGATCATCCACGAGAAGGTCAAGGACTTCGCCTGCCGCTTCTGTCCGAAGAGATTCGCGAAGGCCCAGACGCTGCGGCACCACGAGTGGATCCACACCGGGGAGAAACCATTCGAGTGCAAGACCTGCGGCACCCATTTCCGACAGGAGACGGCACTGAAGCGCCACCAGCGCACCCACGAGAACCGTCCGCCCGTGATCTCGCCCAAGTTCTATGCCGCTCGCGAGGAGCTGGAGGAGCAGGAGCGCAGCAAGCGGGAGGCCAAGCGCCAGGCGGATGCCAAGCGTCACGAGATTGCCGAGGCGGCCAAGGAGCAGCTTTCCTCACTGCACAAGCTGGAGAGCAGCGATCGCAGCCTGCACTCGTACGATGAGTACCAGGAGGCGGCGGCGGAGCGAGCAGCTGCATCCGCGGAACTCCAGGCCCAGCAATTCGAGGAGTACGAGGTGAAGCGGCGGGCGGACGAGGAGCGGCGCAAGATCAAGGAGGCTGCCTACGAGCAACTGCAGCGACTGCAGCATCAGCAGGAGGTTGACAAGGCGCAGAGCTCCTACGATGGCTACTACGCCCAGAAGGCTCATGCCGATGGCACCAGTTTGGACGCTTTGAAAATCGACCATGTCTGAGATCTAACCAGCGTCAAACGCTGTCAAAGGTGGAAGATGAAAAGTGGATTTTTAATGAAAAGCAATACCTTGTAATCCTTATAAGAACAGTGTGTATAAGATGGATATATAGCATAGGCTTAAACAAAAAATACATTTACATGAAATTAAATCTTATGTCCCTAATGCCAGTACAAACAATACTGTACATTAATCAGGAAAACACAATATACTTATGTGGATTCGGTTTAAGTTCAATTGTGTATATTGAGAGGTTACGAGTCTTATTGAAATAATAATACTTTCAAAACAAAACTAAATGGTCAAGTTTTTATAAAAGATATAAATTTTCACTTTTTCTGACTAACTGCTAAATTTGCATGATATTAAGGTACAAAACACTGTGTTTCTCGATCACTTTTTCAGCAGAAAACATCTCTGGCAGTTTTAAAGTTATGGAATTGGCTGATTACTTGTTTTTAAACTTTTGAGTATCCTTTGTGTGTTAAAAAAAATAGTTCCTTAATCTTAATGCGATAATACAGATAATTAAGTGTCACTGGTAAGTGCTACCCTTTGCAAAGGTACAACATTAAGTTCTACTCTTTCTCCTTGAGTATAAATAGCTTCTTGAGGCTGTCGAGCGTCATGTTCTCCAGATCCCAATGAGTTGACAGAGTCTTCGAGTCATCAGCTGAAGTTATTAGCGATAGAATGTTCTCCTCAATGGTTCCATTTACAATGAAACGATGCACCTTCGTAGGCCTAAAAATATCTAATGAAAGCCACCGCAAAAGTTTTTTTTAATAGCCAACTTACTTCATCTGTCCAAATCTATGAATTCGGCCAATGGCCTGGCGTTCGTCACCGGGATTAAGGATTGGCTCCACCAGGAAAACATGTGTGGCTTCTATCAGGTTTAAGCCCTTGGAGCCTTTAGAAAGTGGCATCAGTAGGCAGGTTATATTTCGAGTGGGACTCTAAAGGCGATTTGAAGGTTAGCATCCGTTAGTGACAATTGTAATCAAGAATCAAACCTTGAAATCTTCAAAATCCGAGTTGCTGCACTTGTTGCGAAATTGGATTCCGTTAAGATTTAAGGCTCGTGCAATTTGAATGAGTATCGCCTGCCATTGTGAGAAGATTAAGATCTTTTCGTCTTCATTTTCGGCCTTGATCTTCAGCACGAGTTCCACAATATTTGCAATTTTTGTGGAGAAGTCTCCAATTATGGACTTGTGTGCCCCGGGACGTACCGAGTAGTACAACCTGGAAGGGAGACTTATCTATTGAATGTGCTTGGAAAAGCCAAAGGCAAAAGCTTACTGTGGCGAGTCCTGGCGACAAAGTGGACACTTGGTGACTCCATCTCGGGCATTCTTTTTCCTCATGCTATCCAGACAGTGCTGGCACACAAAATGCCCACAAACCATCATCACATACTAAAATGAAAAAAGGTTTTAATAGCAATATCAATATCAATTTGTTAAGTCGCTGACTCTTACCCTCACATCATCCTGCGTCTGGCAGATGGGACATGGCTTGTCCGTGACATCCTCCTTCAGATGGTTCAGGTACTTCAGCCGACCGCACAGACGTGTGAAATTTAGCTGGGACTCTTGCAAATTGTACTGATTGAGGTGCAGTTGAGTGGTCAGTTGACACGGCAGTATGCGGTAGTTAGACTGCTCCTCGGGATCGTTGGTAAGCAGGATGCGCATCTTGCACATCTCCAGTTCGTCAAAAGCCTTGACCATGTACTCCACCTCGATCCAATATTTTATTTGAAGCTTAACCAGATCCTGCAGACAGGTCAGCAGGTCCAGTTTGCTCTCGCACTCTGCCTGCCATTCACCAAACGCCGGCTTGGAACGCAGAAAGGAAAATATAGCTGGTTGGGAACCACAAAAAAATAATTGTTAAAAATTCTTAAATAAAACGAATCTTATTAAGTTACCTCGAATGAGACTTATCTCCATACTGGGGTTTTCCAGGCCCCCAGTCACTGCAGCATCTTCGTCCAGCTTTTTAGCAAACAGTAGACACTCAAACTTATTCAAGGAATCGCGGGTTTTGCACAAGCGACAATGGCGCTGCTTCTTGGGCTTTTCCGGTTTATCCTTATTTTCGTCCTGTTGGAATATAGTTAAAACCAGTGGTGTTGAAAATATTATTTCTTTAAGAATCGCCACTCAAACTCACCAAAATATCAGCCAAATGACAATCAGTAACGCTTCCTATAAAGTTAAGTATCTCTTGCGAGAGGACTTCGCCCGTTTTGACAGCCTCGCAAGCTTCGCGCATAACTCCCTTGAGGTATTCAAACTCAGTAAGCAAATTGTCTTTTAGCTTTTGAAGCTTTTCATGCCATAGATCAATAAAATAAATAATTCCGGCCATAGATGTGACATTATCGAGCCTTTCCACAGAGATGTTTTGCCGAAAAAAGTCATCTCGGACCTTGTTCCACATAGCATCGTGCAGAGAAGTTTTGTGGTTCACCACTGTGGCTAGCAAATCCACAGTGCTGCCCTCGAACTGCTTCTCCAGGTTGGAAACTTCTTGGAGTTTCTCCTCGTAACCACTGAGAGCGGCTTGAAGCACGGCTGTGTTGTCCTCCAAATACTTCCACTCCAGTCGCTTCATTTGCGCTTGGTAGTTCTGGCATTCCTGATCGGATAACTTATCTGGAGCGCCAGCTAGCTCACTGGCTTGGAGAAGGTTATAGATAGCGTGAATCTGAAGCACACTGTCGACACTGAGAAATTGAAATGGAAAATATTAGTTGAATGAAAATAGGTTCAAGGCAGAACCTACGATATATTCTTCTCATGATAGTCTGCAGCCAGCTTCAACAGAAGCTTGTAATACTTGATGGCCAGAGGGAAATCCTCCTTTAAAAAGTGAATAGAAGCCAGTCCGTTGTAGGAGGAAGCCCAACTTCGCAGCTCTGTCTTGCACTCATTCTCATTGTTGGACTTAAGACGCATCAGCAGATCCTGCGGATTTAGGTAGTCGGTGCTGGACACATTGCTATTGAGCACCACGGGTATGGAGCACGTTTGTCGGATGCGGAGAAAAGGCTTCAGGATGATACGCAGCAGCTGCGGCGAGATGGACGCCAGGCAGGAGCTGTTGTCTGCGTTGTGGCGCGTGTGCTTGGCCACTGCGGCAAGAAATTGTTCGTGACACTTCAGGTGCTCCTCCCGATAGTAGAGCGACTCCACGTTGCTCAGCTCGAGGCGATGCACCACCTCGGTTTGAGGTGGAATCCCCAGTTCGTGCTCCACCTTGGACTTGCAGGTGCGCCACAGACTGTGCTCTAGCAGTTCCAACAGCGGTTCGGCCTTGTAGTTCAGCTGAAAGGCCTTTTCCACGGTTTGCCATGCATCCGGTGGCCTACACACATCTGACCGGCCCACAAACTCCAGCAGCGGCGGCAAGTCATCAATTGTGCCAGTGACAGCCCAGCGGTTGATGGCCGGCAACATCCTTACCATCTCCGCAGCCGCCGAAGTGTTGCTCTCGACCATCTGAGTAGATTAAATTACAATTTATTATGTGAGTGTTCCGTGGATTGAATTATTATTCAGTACCTGTGCCTCGTCCAGGCAAACGCGCCACCAGTTGACCATTAGGAGTGGACAGTCCGGTCGCATGTACAACCGTTGGTGGCGCATCTGACGGTCGGACTTGTAGTCCGTCGTGTGGTATATCTCGTTACGCAGTATCACATAGTCGGTGAGCACCACATCGTACTTGGCCAGCTCGAGGGGACTGATCCAGGAGCACGAGTGCAAGCCGCGATAGAGGAGCACTTTCAGCCCCGGCCTTATGTGCTTCTGCATCTCCTGGTACCACTGCAACTTGATGGCGTTGGGCGAGACTATGATGGTGGCTCCGGTATCCACCAGCCTGTCGCCGGATTTGGCCAACTCGGACCAGCAGCTTGGGCACAGATGGTTTGCATCATCCTCGGCTTGCTTGGATAGCATGTGCATACAGTGTTTGTGCTGCCAGCGGCGGCACTTGTTGCACTGCACCCTGGTGCCGCGTTTTTGAGTGCAGATGCAGAAAACCTCCTGTTCTTGGCGCATCCGCTTCAGCGGCACGTTGTCGGCGATCTCCTCCAGGCGCTGGTGCCAGAACTCATTCCTGAAGGACTCCTGCGGCCTGGGATTCATTAGCAGCATGGCCAGGAACTCTACGGTCTTGCCCAGACCCATCTCGTCAGCCAAGATGCCGCCGGGCGGCAGTGAGATCTTGGGCAGCTCCTCCTCAAAGGGGAAAAACTGCAGGCAGTAATTGTGCTTAAATACGCGACTCCTGCCATCTACGGCATGTAGCGCTGTATATTGGGCTGGCAGTACCGTGAGCTGCTGCTCCCGTCCCAACATCCAGGAAACTGTGCGCTCCTGGTACTTGCGAAGCTGCGATTGAAATCTTTCGGGAACGTTTGGCTGCAGTCCCTCATCCAGACCATTCGTTTGACGATGCCTTTCGTAGAGGGCATCGTACAGCTTGGTGGTGACATAGGTCTTCAGTGGCCGCTGGTGCTCCTGCTCCTGCTTGGTCACCTCGAACTCCATGCTGGTCCTGAAGTCCCTGAATATCAAGGGTAGCAATTTGGCAGCCACTTGCATTTCGATGGCCCGTGCTCGAACGTGAGTCGGTTCGTGGCAGACCACCAAGGTCCAGGTGCCCGTGTCCTGACGGATTGCCCTGAACTTGAGCTTCCTCGTCCGAGCATTCTGGCCTATAATAATAAATCATAGGCATTAACTACAATTAACAAATCCTGGATTCATTCAATCTACGCACAACTTTCGATACAAATGAGAATCTCGTCCGCGTTTTCAGCGAGAAAATCTTTGAACAGCCATCGCCTCTTGCCGTAGCGGAACTCCGATGGATTTTCCGGACATTCTGGAGCTACTTCATCCGCAATTTCACACAAAACAATCTCATCCATCCTATTTCCGCTACCATTTAGAAATAACAAAAAGAGATGACCGCCAATACGATAACAGCGAATTGATACCGTGTTATCACTGATCAGTTCGAGCCAGAGTAACGGGCTGTTCTCACTGTATCCGCAGATCCGTTATTTCTTGTTGGCTATTTATATCTTAGGTGTTGCCCAAACGAATGAACCCCATATAATTTATAAAT